GTCTGTGTAAATATTCTCATAATATGCAAGAATCTCAAATTTATTAACCTCTACTAAAGCTTATTTAGAAACAATAATGGTAATAGAAATATGTAGGAAAACAGCTCCTTTTTAACAATAAGCTTCTATATGCTGCATACTTTCACAGAAAAACTACGCATTCCTCAGAACATCACAACTACAACATACTGTATCAAATGAAATTATCCGCAGCCTCTTCCTGTAGACTCTCATGCAATCTGTAGTGGCTACACTATGCCAAGTAAGGGCACCAGTACTCAAGGCCAAGGAAAAAGAGGTCCTAAGCATCATATGTTGCTATGCAAGAGCAGCTGACCCTCTCAATTCAGCGACTGATGCTTTCCTCTGGACTAGTCTCAGAAAGAGACACACAGCCTGCCCGAGGTGCACATAAACAAGGTGACACAAGAGGAAATTACTAACACCAGTGTTTTTAAGAGGACCACGACTGCAAGGAACATGGTCTATGCCTGAAACACCAGGGCTGTAATTCCCACACTTTTGGCAACTCAAGCTTCTTTCCACTCTGCTTTCCACCCTAAACAGTAGAAAGGTGACACTTAACTCTGAGTCATTTCACTTCCATGTTAAAAAAAATCTGGATTTTACAAAGGAAGCTGCTAAAGCTCCACAGTACTTTAAATCAGAATACGCTGGCTCTGCTAGTTTAAAGAAACAGTCCCATCTCTCCCATCCTGTGTTTCCTCACATTCCTAATAATCTCCTTTATGCCACTACAAGTATTTCTGCAAGCACATACTAGATTACTTTCAATACAAATTATTTTTTCTGATATGGCTCATTACACAGCTCCACAAACGTCTGGATCAACACAAGGAAGTTGAAATAGCAGCCAGACAGGACTGCTTCTTTTGGCAGCACCACAGTCTTAAAGCTTCCCTGAAACCAGCCTGGCATAGCCTTCAGAAACAATAAACTTGGTATTTAAGCTTTTTAACAGTACTTGCAAGCAGCTTTAAAAAAAAAAAAAGAAAAGAAAAAACCCACACACACAAAGCCCCCACCAAAACAAACACACACCCACAAAAAATTGAAACCAACAAAATAAAACATTCCCAAACAACCAAACCTAAACACAGAAACCATGACTGTTTTAAAAATTGGCTAGTTCATCACCTGTCAGATATTGAGTCACATTCAAAAAATATTTCTTTATGAAATAACAACAGGATCTGTGTCTTAAATTAGTCTTGGTCACCAAGTGTAACCATCAAGCAAAAACAAGATATGCACCAGAATACCACAAGCAAGACAATAATGAGGAAGCAACAATGTTAGCATTTGCTATTTTTAATGAAAAAATAAAAAGGACAAGGAAAACTGTTTCCAACTCCTTTTAAACATTATTTTCCAGAGTCTTTACTGCACCACTGATGTTGAAATTTTCTCAGAGTACACAAACTGTACATACAACACATCTCTTAAGCCATTTTACAAGTTACACACCACACGTAAGTTTAAGACATTTTAGGACAGTTATACCCACTTACACTAGCAAAACACTGCTTCCTCTTAGCTTCGCTATTTTAGCTATCCTTCATTTAGAGTTATTTAGTAGTCTGTATTTCTCTTGCTTAAGCATAACTTGAGAGCTGTCAGGAAGATTTAAATCCAAATCTTATTAAAGTAATTCACAAGCTGTTTCCAAAATGCATGTTCATTCAGATTCAGGCTTCAAAAGACATGGGGATTATACAATCATGACAAAACAAAAGGGGATAGGACAGTCTACTAGAAATCCCACACAACTTTTAGTATTCTCTCATAATACACATACTGAATTACAGAAAGTCTTAGTGAGACAGCACTGTAACTCATCTATTCAGTGTGTGCACATCTGCCGTGCTTTCTTATCCACTCTTTACCTCTCCCCTCCCTTTTCTTTCAATGTCCACAAAAACAAACGTAGCAGCGGCACATTACACGTAAGAACAGAATGCATTTCATAGTGACAGTGCTACTCAGATCATCAAGGACTTAGATTCCTACAAATACTAAAATTCCATAAAAATTTGCCCAAACTATCTTGGAATGTACAAATAAGATCTAGGAAGCATTATTCTCGCTGTTTCATAAGCTGGAAATACAATGGAAACAGTAAAACATACTAAAGCCTTTTTTCCCCAAAATTAATTCATTTCTTTATAGAAAACAATACAAAATACTTGTAAGATAAGTCAAAAGACAGCAACCTAGTAAGAGCAAAATCACCTCTGAAAAAAACTGTCATATGATTGTTAGCTGTTCTTTTATGTAATACTACTGGCAAACAAAAGCATATTTCTCCTCTAACTAAAAAACACAGAAAGCAAAGTGACTTTTAAAAAGAAATTTCTCAATACACAAAAAGAAATTAGCATGCCTCTGGACACATGTTGTTTTGGATAGCCTTTCTGGGTTTTTGGTGGTGGTTTTTTTGTATGTGTGAGTTTTAAACACAGTGTTTTCATATGCCCTTACACCGTGGTTTCCACAATCTCTGTGATGAAGTACGAGCATGCTGCTGCAGAAAAGGCAACTGTCCCTTCCTCATTTGTTTCAAGACTGATACCACAGCTTGGTGGGCTGCAGCACTGACCTGATCCAGAAAAAAAACTACTCTGGACAAAAGCTGAGTTTTCAGGTCTCCCAGATTCCATTTACCACAAGGCTGCAGGGAGGCCACTGACAGCACAGCGAACACCAGTGCACTTATTGAGAATACCTTTGGGAGAGACTCTGACAAACAGAACACAGTTGTAACCCAAAGGCTTACTTTCCTCATTAGCTTCCTTCACCTATCCCATCTGTAAACAATCCCTAAACCTTCTCTGGCATTCCTCAAACCCCTATATCACTATCTTTCCTTGACAACCAGACTGAATATAATCCATTCAAATACCTGCACCCTAGATCCAAACAACTCCCTGCTGATCTTTTCCAAATTTCTACAACCACTCCGAGTTTTCTGCATGCCCAATGGAAACAGGCCCTTCTCCATGGTACATGATCCTCCCTACTTCCCCCTTCCCCCAGGGAAGAATTCCTTCAGCAACAGCCTTCACCTGTGGCCTCCACAGAGGAGGGCCCACTGAAGTCTTGGCTAGGAGAGAGGCAGTTACCAACAGATGTAACACACTGAACCTCGTCCTGCCATTCAGCACAGCCTGTCACTCAATATCAAAAGCGACGAGTGGGAGGATGCAATTCCTACTCTCCATGCCATAAGAAGCTGCATGCTTGGAGCACACATCAGTGCCAGAGCCTTTATCCCCTTATTTTCCCTACTTTTGTCCAAAACAACGTGATTATCGGAGAGGAGAATGAGGAAAGGGGAGAAAGACAACAGCTAGACAGCATTTTCCCGGAACCCCACGTTCTTTAATCAATCAATCCCACACCGAGAACAACTACTCTAAGTGATGTTTTTATACATTTACAATATGCCAGCCATTGCTCAAGCAGTGACTACTTGCAGCGTCAAGAGCACCTTTGTTTTGCATGCCCTCGGGCCTTTCTGTATAGTAAAATTTAACTGCTGCAGTGAAGGCAAAACTTTGATCTCCCGAGATAAACAAGCGACTTGGTAAAGGATCACCATGACACAGAAAGCAAGAATCTGATTCTCACAAAATTAAAGGTGAAAAGTAGGGAGGTTACAAAGCAAAGGAGAAATAATGGATAAGATCCTGCAACTACAGGCACACTACACTGTGATCAACACTGGGAACACAACAGCACCCTTCAGCAAGGGGCTGAAACCCACTCCTGCCCCTCAAGGGGCTTTGCGAGCATCTGTAAGCAGGGCAGGGAAGGCGCGGGGTGTTTCAGGCAGCAGAGCCTGAACCACAGCCATGCCCGAAGGGAAGTTCCTCCATCGACCGTAAAGGCTGATCCAATACCGGGAAGCATCCTTTCTCCCCAGCACCGTTTCCCTCCTCGGCGTCACACCCGCGAGAATAACGGGGAGATTTAACGCTCCCGTAATCTGTGCTGCACAGCCACATCCCCTCGGGCCTTCCCGCCTCCCACAGGAGGCCCAGAGCCAAAGGCCGCACTCCCGGGGCGAGGCCCGACTGCGCGGGACGCTCCCTCCCCACACCCCCGCCTCGCGGGGCTTCCAGGGACCAGGGAACAGCTACAAGGAAGATCAGCCTCCGCTTCCCGCCGCCCCTTCCCCCTTCTACCTTCGGTTCCCGGGGCGCCGTCCAGGCGCGGGGAGGAGCGACGCCGGCTCGGCCCGGCTCCCGCGGGAAGCGGCGGCCCGCGGCAGGGCAGTGACGGCGCCTGCCCGCTCCTGGCCCGGTCCCTGGGTCTGGCCCGAGATAATCGGGATAATGGCTGCGGAGCGCCGAGGTCACGCGGCAGGGGAGGGCGGGACGGCGCGGCGCGCGGACACCGCGCGGCCCGGGAGGGGGAAGGGAGGCGGGAGGAGGCGCGGGGGGGGCGGGGCCGGGCTGGGCCCCCCTCAGGCTTCCCCCGCCATCTTCCCTCCAACCCGGGGCCACCGCCCTGCCGAACCTCCCCGCGGCCCCTTCGCCTCCCTCACCTGGCGGGCGGAACTCCCTGCAGCCCCGCTCCCCTATGGCAGCCACACGGCCATTTTCCGTCGGGCCGGAGGAAGAGACACGGGGCCCGCGGGGAAACAGAGGAGCCACCATAGGGAGCGGGGCGGGCGTCGCGTCACTTCCGCTCCGGGCGGGGAAGAGCTGGCCCCGCGCTCAGCGCCCGGGCGCCATCTTGGTTTCGGGTACCCGTCCTTAAGCAAGATGGGGGAGGGCGGCCGCCCGTCCGGCCCCGCTGTGTCCCTGCCCAACGCTGGAGACTCCGCGCCCGGCCCGCCGCCCCCTCGCCCCGGCCCGCACCGCCGCAAATAAAAGCTGTCGCCTTTTGTATTCTCGTTTTCCGAAGAGGCGCGGGGGGCTGGGCCGCGCTGGCCGTTGCCTGGTTACCTGTGGGGCGGGGTGCGCATCCATGCACGGAAGTGTCTTGGAAGCGCTTGTGTGTGGAGCGGAGCCCAGCCAGCGGCTTTTCATCCAGCGGCATTGGCAGCCGGTACTCCTTGCGCTGGTAGGGAGATGGCGGTGCCGCGGCGCTTCACTGCAGCAGCTTTGCAGCAGATGGGCGCCCGTCGCCTGGGTGCGATACAGCAGCGCCGCGTCCGGGAGAAGCGCGCCCAGGGTGTCTGCGCCACCGGGAAAGTGCAGCCGAGAGCTGCGAGTGAGCAGTATTGACTAATACACAGGATGTGTGTAGGCTGGCCGGGTCCTAAAATTCACAGGATCATAGAATATGCTGAGTTGGAAGGGACCCACGAGGATCACCGTGTCCAACTCTCAGACCTGAACAGGTCCATCCCCACGGATCACACTGTGTGCCTGAGAGCATCGATGAGCAATTCCCGCTACTCAAATCTGACACAGCTTGTTTACTTTTTCGAAGGCTATTACATATTATTTCTGAGACAAGAAAAAAAACATTAAAAATAGCAAGAAAGGATCCACATAGACCATTTTAACTGAGTTTTTAAATTCAGAGGACACTGACTGTGAGGCAGGCAAAAGCAAATGATAGAGGAAAAAGGCATGTAATATGCGAAGCAGGCATAATCCCAAAATGCTGATTGGCTGTTTCATGTGTAGGGAAAGTGATGCACTGCTTAGATCTATTTCTTTTAAGGTTTTTTTTAAGCTTGGCCTTCTATGGAGGCAGCAACCGGTGAGTAGTTGGTACTGAAATAAATACAGTGAAAGCTTTTAGTTCTCACTAGTTGTGGTTAACTGATGAATGGTCTGGCCTAGAGAGGAACAAAACTCTTTTTAAGGTTTTTTTCCCTTCTGCAGGGGTAACGGTAACTAACCTGTGCCTCAAGTGCAGCACACATGCTACACCTTTTGCTGTAACCAACAATAAGGCACTATTAGGAGGAGGCTCCTTGATCTGTGACAATGAACTGTTTTCAGAACTGTCACGGGATTTGGCTGCATGCAATACACCTTCTCCTATTTCTTAATGGTCCTGAGAACTGGTGGGATGCTCATGCAGGAACACCTTCCACTAGACCATGTTGCTTAAAACCCCATCCAGCCTGGCGATGAATACTTCCAGGGATAGGCATTCACAGCTTCTCTGGGCATCTAACTTTTAAGTTTTTTGCCCTGACCCATGTGCAGGACTTTGCACTTGGCCTTGTTGAACTTCATGAGGTTAACACAGTCCTATCTCTCAAGCCTGTCCAGGTCCCTCTGGATGGCATCCCTTCCCTCTTGTGTGTCGACCACACCGCTCAGCTTGGTGGTGTTAGCAAACTTGCTGAGGGTGCACTCAATCCTACTGGCACCAACAAAGATTTGTGGGACATAAGCCAACATAAGATACATAGGATGTATCTTATTGGGACAGAAAGGGTGGAGACTACTACTCTTTCAGTTCTCCACTGTATTCAAGACAACGTGCTATATGCCCAGACGAAACAAACTATAACATGAAACTTTTTTAAAATATATTTTAATTATTTCAAATATATTTGTCTAATGACAATTAATGCAAGTTGTTTTGAAATTTTGTTCACTCCTTGTTTTACCAAACTTTTGACATTTGGGCTGTGTGATCCTTCAGTGCAGCCCTTTTGTAGCAAAAACAGCAGGACATGCACCTGTGCTTTGAAACACATCAAACCAGTGGCTTTCTAGGGGTATTGATATGAAATACAACCTGACTGGTCTCCCTTTCCTCTTGATGCCCTGACTATAATTTATGCTGTAAAATTGGGATAATTTATCTTGTAAAATTTGAGATTATTTTTTATACAGTTTTTATACAGTTTGTTCAAACCTCTAAGGTACATAGGCGCTTCTGACCTGCCTTTGATATTTTAGAGGCACTATCTTTTGCTACTAAGCAATAAAAAATACCAAAAATAATTCAATTTATGTGCTTATTATTATCCTAGGAAACAGTAGCTCTGGGCATGACACAAACTGCTGCTTTATTTGAATACAGCAATAGTCCAGAAAATTTACAATAAAATATGCAGTGCAAGACAATGGGAAGATGCATGAAGATACATAAAGACAAAGCAGTACAATAATACTGTGTCATCACCAGCCCAAGCCAGACCCTTGGTGACTGTTAGCAGATGTTCTCACCGTTCAGTGAGGCGGCTGCAAACTTGTACATCTTCTGAGCACTAACATAGAAACAGGGAATGAGTAGTAAAGTCCATCGTTAGTAGTCAGCAGTGAAACTGGATTGTCTCATCAGGAAATGCCACTCCTAAGAGTTACAGAATGATAATATAACCTCAGTTCCAAAGATTTACTAGGAATGAAGAAACACAGAAAGAGGCTGTCTTTAATCTCTTCAAAAACTGCAGCACAGACTTGCAGAAGTCAGTGGTGTTACTTACCATCTTTGGCCTGGTCCTTTATGTGCTGCTGGTACTTTACAAGACATCCACATCTATAGCAGCTGCTCCTCCTGTTAAAACCTTGTTCCATTTTACAACCCCTTTGAGTAGATTTTGTCAATCCATGAGTGGGACAAGGCTCAAGGAAGCTGTGTCAAGGAGATGCTTCAGTAGATGGCACTCTCCCTCTGAAGGAGAATGAGCAAATACCTCAGCCAAGGAATTTGATGCAATGAGAACAACTTCCTTTATACTCTACAAAATTACAATGAGTGAAAATGAATCTCTGCCTAGCTTTGCAATGAAGTAACCTCTGGCAGATCTTCACAAATCAATCTATCAAGTCCTCAATCTGACTTCCTACCTGCTTAAATGACTGTACTCCATTACTGTTCATCTGAATTCCTCCTGAAATTGTAGTGGTGAATATGTACATACATACACACACGTGCACAAGTGTATATATTTGTTATATGTATTATATATATATACACAAATATATAAAAGAGCTCAGTAGTAATGTAAATTGCACACATTAGACTCAGGCTTTACAGTTGTTCTGCTTCCCCAATCATCTTTTTCAAATTCATTCTTTTATTCTACTCTTTTGTTAATGGTAGGTCCAGTTTGAGGACTTAAGTCCTATGGTTTGTTGATTGTTTTCTGTTGGTATTTCATAGTCACAAAATTTCATAGATCTGGAAATTGTTCAAACCAGTTTACAGAGCAGTTGCACTGAATTAGTACAAGTGAGGAGGCCTTAACTGCAGGTATGGGAACAATAAAGACCTGCTAGGCATTAGGGGAGCTATAACCTTTAAAATCTCATCTGTTCCTAACCAAGCAGTAATGCACAGCCATCATACAGCTTTCTAAACTGTGCAGTGATTTCCTCACTCTTGAACAGGAAGGAGAGAGAAGAGAGTGAAAGAAACATGTATAAGACAAAGTTGCAATAAAAAAATGTCATGGGATAAATTTATAAAATGTAAATTTAATTAGTTAAATCTTTTAGATTTTTGGATTCTTGAGTAATGTGAAATTCCATTTACTGCTGTTTAAGCATATAAATATCTGTTTTCTCACTTGACTGGCTCACAAGTCAAATAAGACTACATAAGTTTTCAATCACTGCCTCTCCTCTACACTCCCCAAAAATCCTTTTTCCATTTATTAAAATCACAGTGATAACAGTATTTATAAAATCCAGAACCTGGAGCTATAATTTTGCTACCATATCTCAGATAAAGCTGACCTGTTTTTTCCAATATTCATGTCAGAGCCTGAGGGTGTTTTGTGTCCTATTAGTATGAAGAGGTCTAGGTAATATATGAAAGAGGAGTATAGAGAGTATTTGTATACATTTCTCCAGTGCCAGTGAACTTTTGGGGAACCAAAAGTTGTGCACCATTGCAAATTAGATTAAGGAATTTCTGTTACAAGAAGTGGTTCAAGTAGTGGCATGCTGCATGAGTGAAATAGCAGATGAACAAATGTATTTTTGAGACTTTCTGTTCTTGATTCAAAACAAAACAAACCCACTGTGAGTGTCAGATGCTAAAGGTACTGTACTCAAAAGTAATATTTTCTGTAATTTGTAGACAAGCTACACAGCAGATAAAATGCTGGACCAGTGGAAGCTCTCTACTGAAAGTACCATTTAACTACAGCATTCATCTATTATTTGGCAAATAGATTTAAACTTCCAAATGCAATTTATACAGAATTCCAAATAGCCTTCATACAATAATGTTACTGCTTGGAAGTCTCTTTTGCACACACCTGAATGGAAATGGTTTGGAGAGGCTTTTTTAACACTTTGCAAAGGAACTGATTTTTCTTTTCCTTGGAGAAAAAAAAATGATGATGTTGAGTGTGGGATGCTTAGTATTTGAAACATGTTCTGTAGAAGAATTAAATCAAAATAGTTTAGCACTATTAGAGTACTACTATATCTTCTCCTTCTGCAGACTTGAGATGACATTTTATTCAGTCAGAAAAGGAAACATATTAAGGTCATGAAACTAATCAAAAACATTGCATTTATAACCTTTACCTTTACAGCAGCTGTTGTGAATTCAGAGTATGTTTGAAGACCCACAAACCAGCCTTCTACACTATCTTTCAAGTAGTGGTTTCAAACCAAAGAACAATTTCCTGACTGAATCATCAAACTAGGTATCAGGACACCTGAGTATTATGCCTTCAGGCAAGTTATACACTAATTTTCAGGTGTTATGCACTTCTTTAAAACAGAATTGCAAGAACTCAGCACCTCTGAAATTTGTTTTTAAACGATTTTGGGAATATCTTCCTTACAGATATATTGAAAAGCTGTTTTAGTGTTTGTAATACATTTTGAAATGCTTAGTAAGAACATGTTACAGAAATGCAGTCATTACTAAAAAATGTTTCATTGAAACAGTCCTGTTTTTTTCTCATCTCAGTGCAGTACAGTTCAAACTACCTTTAAAATGTCTCCCAATTAAACTTTACTATTCATTATACAGAGTAAGAGGTAGAAGGAGCATGCAATGGATTACCAGGGATCTGCTTTTAGATTAAGGCTGAAGACTGGAAGATGTAAGCAAAAGGTGAAGAGCAAGCAGTTGCAGAAGTAGGACCTGATGATCGCATGGGTTCCCCGTGCTTGAAAAGATCCCTACTGAAAGGATCCAGAAGACATAGTGAGAAAATAGAAATATTAGCCTTGCTTTTGATAATATTAAGAAGTGAAACAGAGGTCAGAACTCAGTAGGCTTGCAGAACTGGTCAAGGAAGTAGCCAGAAAAATCAAAGTCCTGATTCTTTGTAATGGATTGCATTATGTATTAGAGGTCTCATACCTTTTGGTTTACTGGTGTAGTTGTCATGTGATACTTGTGTTTAGGAAAAGTACATCGTGTAAGTAAGAGAAGAAATAGAAGTAGCTGGACAGACCAGTGAGATTTGGGTGAGCCTGCTCATGACTGCTTGGAGATGGATGCAAAACAAAAAGTTGATTTTCAAACGTGATTTATTTAGAAACAAAAGATCTATTAAAGGACAGTAAGGCTAATACTTACCAATAAATGTATCAAATGAAAAAGTTAGAATAAATCTGTCAAATCCATGAATAAGAAGAAGTTTATAAAAGTGATCAACACTCAGAAGACTAGTACCCACAGGATCCTTAATTAAGGTGATCTTGAATCAAACCAGATTTTACTGGAAACCTCAATATTACAAATATCACTTCATGCTACATTAACTAGACTACGGTAACTTGTGAAATTGTTCAACCAACGGCGGGCACATGTGCTAGACTGGTGAATTAAGCAAAAGGATGGAGCAAAAGAAGAACTACTCATTTTCCTTTTGCTACCTTTCTCTGCATGGAGACTGCAGATAATTTTTGCATTCTCCCATTGCTAGCTTATGCAGCTCACTTTGCAGGACTTGCTTGACAGGAGGAAAACAGTGCTAAATTCATTTGGCCACTGTAATTTTTTTCCAGTTTTCTATTCTTGTTGATTTGCAAAGTCTCAGTTGACTGAGTTATGAGTTGTTTGTCCAACAGCGCCTTTGTTCTGGTCTGTGCTTCAGCAAAAACTGGAAAAACCTGTTCACTTTCTCCTTCTTTTTTTTTTTTAATCTTCCTCTCCCATTGGTAGCTGCAGCTTGTACTCATGCAGGCAAGGTGGTGCCTACCTTTCATGTGGAAAGCTGTCTTACAAAAACTGAGGTTGCGTTTTCCAGAGCTTTTCTAACCTCATGAAGTTTTTGGTGGATGCTCCGGGTTCTCCACAAACTGTATTTAGGTCATTATTTTATTTTTCTTCAAGCAAAGTGTTTGATCGTGTCTCCAGTCAAGCCTTTTAAATAATGATTTGTACACTCTGGGAGATCGGCAGGAACCAGTCTTGTAAAATGTAGCTTTTTGGACACAGAAGATTGTCTGCTTTACAGCAGTCGCATATGGTGTGATGTTAGCTTCTGTAAGACAGAACAAACACTGAGGAAGCTAGCTAGTGCAAAAAGTGGACAAGTTGAGAAGAAACTGTTCTTTCCATCTCCTTAGTTTTCTTCTTGCTTGGTGCTGCTGTTGGAACAAGAATGGGTCAACTATGTGGACGATGCATGCAGCTGCTGCGGGACTTCGTAGCCTTTGTTCAGAGGATGTCCTCCGATTTGGTGCACAGTGTCAAGGAATGCTTGATTCTGATAAGCAAATGCTCCTGCTTAAAACAAAACAGCTCTAAAACCAGACAGCTGTACAAGCCCATCCTACAGCCTCATGAGAGGGTGACAGCACAGGAGTTTCTGCAGCACATTGAAACCGGTAAGAGGACTTGTCTTTTTCTAAAGGGTTGTGAAAGAACAAGGAGATTGATTTTGTGGGTTGAGAGCAGATTGCTAGCTGATATGTTCTGGCACGGGCAGTTGGTGATGATGTAGGAAAGGCCAGAGCAACAGAGCACTTTCTTTGTGTACAGGACACCAAGAGCTCAAGTGGTGCCACAGCTGGATCTAGGTAGAAATGGTCAGTCACTTTCTTGCTCTGCTACCGCTCTTAGTACATAACCCATGTTTCATAAAAGTGAGTCCTTCTAGTAACTGAAGTTAGTTCTTTTGAGTCAGTCACTGAGCTCACGGAGCTAGAGATGAGCTGTGCCAAGACCTGAGTGCTGAGCTGTGAGCAGGCAGATCACAGTGTGATGTGCACAGTTGAACACCTCCATGTTGGCTGGTTGCAGAACACTTGGACTTGTGTAGGGGTGTCTGGGCTATATATGGGGAAGGTCAAAGTCACCCTGGGACAAGCATAGTTGGGTTACCAGGATTCTGAGAAACTGTGCTTTTGTGCAAATATTTTAAAGGCCAGGCTTAAGCACAGTCATGGGTTTCTGCTTGAATAAAAGTATATCAATAACTCTTCATCTATCTCTTTTGTTTTACAAGCTACCTGCCTAATTCCCCTGTTTATCTATTTGTGATGTCCTCTTTGTCCTGTCCTAAGATACAACAATATCAATAAGAAACCTTTTTTTTTTTTTTTTTATTTCACTGCTGCAGTCATCTTACATGAGTGTATTTTGTCAGTTGTCCAGCCTAAAAACAGTCGTTGTCTCAAGCTTAGATAGGGGCCATTGCTTGTTTGGTTTTGCTCTGTCTCACAGCTGATTGGGTATATTATTTTAAGTTTGGCTACTTTGGTCTAAAGCTGCTACACAGAATTGCATAGCCTTTTACTTTCATTTGTGTGAAAGGCGTGGAACACAAACTGCTATTTCTTTACCTGCCTTTTTGGGAACATAAAACTAACATGTGAGGGGAACCAGGAGAGACGCTTTTCCTTGGTGTGACACAGTTAGTGCTGTTTGAAATAATCTGTTGCGGAACAACCTTTGCAATAATTGCTGTGACGCTAGTTGTTGGCAACATGTGTGAATTAGCCTCGGCTGGTATTAGCTGGTGTCATTACCCATGAAAGTGGTGGGTCCTGTGCTGCTGGTATGGTTCACTAATTGTTGCACCTTAAGCACTGGTTAAATCCTGACACCGATACCCAGAATAGGGCCAGATCTTTTAGCTTGTTATACAGTGGAGATCTTCCACGGCTGAACTTTTTCTTCAAAGGCTAGCATGCTCCTGACTGTATAAGAGATTGTCTTGGCAGTATCCCAGCTCAGCTGATAAATCAGGTGTAATGAAGGGGTGCTCTGGAAAAAATGGTGGGGCCAGAATGGCCCCTTGCAGCACCCACTGGTGCTTCCTGTAAAGACCAAGTGTATGTTTTCCTGGAGAGATCCTTTCTTCTCTGAGATCAGTCTTCAAAAGGCTGGTCTGGCTTGAATCCTCAAGAGTTGGGGTACAGCAGCAGGAAGCCTAGAGCTTCTCTGACAGCAGTACACAGATGGCAGTGTGTGCTTTCAGGGAGGTCCCACTGTCCATGACAGGACATACACAGCACCCAAGGAGCGGAACCAAGGTTAATTTTCTGAGTGGCCAAATCCTGGTGCCAAGATAGATGGAGGCAGGGAAGCCTCACAAAGAGAACCAAGACACATCCCTCTTACTTTAACATTCACCTGTGTATTTTATTCCAAGATGGAGCAAGCCCAGCCTTAGTTCTGAATAAATTATAATAAGCAGGAAGCCAGTGTTTGAACAATTTGCATGCAAGGAGAGACTTCATGATTGATCATCATACTCACCTGTTAGCTAGGGCGGCAAATGTTTGATATTATAGGCAGGTGAAGATTTTGAGTGGTTTCTGCTTTTTCACTCTCCCAAACAAAAACAGAGATATGTGGAAGATTTAGATAGTCAGTGTGTAAGGACCAGAATTAAACCGCATGAAGAGATTTTTTGTTTTTTTCTCTAAAACCTTCACACACAGGCCAGTCCTTCCTTTTGTGTGTATTGTTAATTATTAAAGAAAATTGATCTTTATATGAAGCAGTTCTTCTGTGAAGCTCACTTACCTAATCCTGAAAGTAGGAGTTTGCTAGTCTCGTCATGTAAGCATCTTCTAATGGCATGAGATATTGGCTGAGTTTTGCACAGAGGCATGAAAGCTCCTGTCCCTCACAACCCTCACATCTCTTTCTCCTATGGGAGATAAAGTAGCTAGATATGCTTCATAGAGATATTTCAGTCATTAATGCACGGCTTTAATCTGTTGCCTGAAAACATATCTTATAATTGTGTGCTTCACCAGTCAATTTATACTACATTACCTTTTCAGCTCAGTTCATACTACTGAGCATTGGTTCAATGTCCCTTTTATTTTCCTCTCTGCTGCTCCATTCCACACATTATTTTATACAGTGACTTTCAGAAGTCACGCATGACTGCTGTTGCTTGATGGCTATTGTTGAACATCTGATTTAGTCATAGGGGAACGATCATACTTAGGTACAGGTAGACTCATGCTAGACCCCGAGGCAAAACTATTTGCAATCCATGTTGCTATTCCCTTAAATTCTTTATTGTAAAAAATGATTGGGTATTATTGTCATACCCAACATTGAAAACGCAGTGAACTTCAAATGTAGTAAATTAAAAATATATACTGTTTCTTTAGTTCATAACTAAGAACACCACATTCAGTAGATTTTTTTTTTAACAAAGATCTTCTGTAATTCAGAAAAAGATAAAGAGTTTTATGGAGAACAAGAACACCTGCATTTATATTAGATAACATTAAAAAAAAGTGTTTAAAAATTATAATTTATCTTGCTTTGAATCACTAGCTTTGAGAGCTTTATAAGAGGCATTGCCAAGAACATGTTATTCCAAATTCATCTATTGCTTCTGCTCATGGAAACATGAATAAGGGTAGATGGGCTTTATGGAGTTGTTGCAGTACAAAAATCCTTATGTGTTTGGTTGGCTATAAATTTTAATGCATTTTTGTAAACTAACCCTTTTCAGGTGTAATCAAGCCTGTGCTGTCATTGTACATCTTTAGGTTTTGAAATGTCACCCCTTGGAAAGGACCCCCTGGAGGCCTTGAGGACCTTAGCCTTTTCAGAAAACCCAGGTTTACAGCAGTCAGCTGCCCTCTATTACCTGCATATGAGTCAGCACAGTAAGTTATCTCAGTGCATTAGAAAATTTTCACATAATTATTTCCAACTGTGAAATTTCCTTTGATTTATTAAGGAAAGATTTGGGGTTTTTTTCCATGCTATGTTGTTTGCTAAGGAAAATGGAAATGCTGTCATTGCCATGTAGACAGAGTCAATTCACGGTTTTGCTGTGAGGAGATATCTCTTTTGATTATAAAAGACTGTCATTTATGTAATTGTAATACTTCTGTAAAACTCAGCAGAACTCAAAGTACTTAGTGTATACTGAATCTCCTGAGAGCAACACAGTCAAAATATAGTGGAAGGAAATGGGCATAGTGACCAGCTAATGTTTTATATTATATAATTTTTGAAAGAGGACAAAGTTCTAGAGGCCAGACTGTAGTGAAAGTTTATGAAGGAAACATTCTCCTTTATCCCAACTATTCTGTGGGAGCACTTGGCTCCTGAGGTAATTTGTAAACGGTTAGGAGTCAACCTAGATATCCCAAATAAAATTCCAGCAAGACTTTGGGCTCTAAAAAAAGGTAGAAATACCAGCAACAAGTGGGTTGCAATTTATTATCTATTTGTTTGTCTTAAATTTACTTCAAAGAGAATATTCTGTCACTTGGCGTAATAACTTTATCCCATGTATTTTTTGCTGTATAAAAAGTGCAGGTAGCCACAACACAAGGACCTGCTGTGAGGCAGAATGACTTACTTTGTAGCAAGGCATACTGCTTTCCTTCCCATGATGTTTTTGAAGTACTTGATTATTCAAAACCTTTTCAGGAAACTTGCCCTGTTTGCTAATAGCAGTGGAATTTAAATGAAGGGGAATACCACTCAGCCTATGTATGGGAGCACCTGAAGCTTAAGATCAATAAGGGAAAAATGTGACTATGGTGAGCAATGAGACTCATGAATATTTCCTCTCTTTCTTGCAGTGAACATCCCCCTGCCTGTGGAGCATCTGGAACCCTTCTATGCCTTACTACGGTCTGCTGACCTGGAGGTGCAGCAGATGTCTTCCTTGTCCCTTGTCAACTTCTTGCTGGAAGGACATAGTGAGTAATTAACAGCACATCTCTCTTCAGGTGAAAAAGTATCTTTTCAGCCAGACTCATGTAGAAGGAAGGTACATCTACACACCCAGGTCTACACAAATCTAAATTACTTTTTCTGTGTTCTAGTGGCACCAAGACATATAAGGTCCCTCCAGCTGATTATATCATGTGGCAAGAGTTCTTAAATCTGTGCGCAAGTGCTGATAAATTATTCCCAGACTGGTGTGGGAATTCTATTCTCGTTCTTGGATTGAGAGCCCAACACTTGCCCTTTCAAACAACAGATAAAACTCTTAGAAATAAACTCTATCTATGAGACAGTGCTCATTTTCTTGTTAATTATGAACGGGACCTTAATTTCTTGCAGATAAAAAAAAAGTTAAAACATTTAGTAGAATTCACTTTCTTCTGTAACTAACAGGGCAAATGGAATTGAAATAGGATCTGGGATCTGCAGAAGAAAAACTTCCCAATAAAGTTTATGTTGATAGACAGGGCATGAACACCTCACACCTGGTCAATGGAGTCCTTGTTGCCTCTACTACTTCACTCCTGGCACCTGGGCCACAAGTATTCCATCACTCAATCCCATAACAGCAGAAGATGGGGTCAGTCTTCAGTGAAGCTAGCTTTTTTTTTTGCTTTTTCTAAAGGATTTTGCTGCAAATAATATCATGTCACTATTAACAAGTAAAAAATAATATTTAAAGGGAAGAAAAACAAAGAGTGAGGGGAGTGCTGAGTAAATTGTTGAACCTGTTGAAAAGCTGCAATTGCTCTTTCCAAAATTACCCTTATGTTTGTAAACAGAATTGCTAACAGAAATATTTGGGACCTTCTACCCTAGAACTTCTGAACATCTCTTACACTCTTGCATGAGTCTGAAGAGGAATTGAGCAAACCAAGCTAGGGACTGTGAGTGGCTATCAGACTGTTTCCATCTTAGATCTGGTTTATATAATCATAATATAGATTCCGAAAGCATAAGAATGATATATTCTTTCCACAGAGGCACTAACTATTTATTTTTTTATTTGTCCATTATTTTTCCTGAATTTATGAATAGTTGACAAAGAATTAGTTGTTCAAATGGGTTTACTTGAGCCAATTCTGGATCTACTTGAGTCAGAGGATCCCACTGTCCAGTGTAATTCCTGTGCCTGCATCATGACTTTGGCTGTTTCAGGTGAGCGTGCTGTTCTTTCCCTTTATCATCTGCAATGAATTCATTCAACTCTTAGATCACATTTCAAGAAAAAACAACCTATTTACATTTGGTTTAAGAGTCATAAGATGCAGCAGCAAGTTTTGGTATTCCCACATCATAAATTCAACCTTTTGATATTCCAATTAAGGAATTTTTCTTAGTGTTTCTGACCTTCATTCTCTTATGATTACAAACCTTTCTCTGATTTTCATCCTAAATATATTCATGACCAGCTTATCTTAATTAATGTCTACCTTGGCTTTTGCTTCAGTAGTTTCTATCTCTCTGATCTATGCTGATGAGGCTCCTTCATTTTACTAGACCAAGAAAGCCAAGCTCTTTTAAGACTCCTTGTAAGTGCTCTCCATTCATCTTCATAGTCCTTCTGGGTGTAAATGATATGTTCCAGGAATGAACATAGCATTTGCATCTGCTGTATTGTGATACCATAGACCTCAGGCATTTTTGTTACAGTCCCAAGATATACATAAATGCTGCAGGAGTTCCGTTTTGAATTCATGTCTTCTGAAAGCAAAGTCACCAGAAATGTGCAGTATTTCAGCTGTGGCACCTAGGGAAATATGTTTTGTGGTACATCTCATGATAACTAACACCCACCATTTTGGTGAGCATGCCATGGTGATGTTGTTATCCTGCAGCTGACTTAATCACTTAGTCTTTCTCCTCCTCTGCTGCAATTTCCAGCAGATACCAATTAATTGAGGGTCTACCACAATTGTTTCCAAGTGCACATCCCTGCATTTTGTACTATAAGGTTTCATTCTGTTTCTGTTGCTCCAGTTTTCTAATTTGTCTGTTATTTGTAAAATATTCCAGTCCTCCACTGCATTGACAGTTTTGCACTCACACCTTTGTATTAACTTTCTGGTTCAAAACCAGCTACAGACCAGTCCTTGTGGAATTCCATTTGTAGCCTACTCCAGGTGGTCATTCCCATTTAGCAAAACTTGTTGCCAGCTTGGTTTCAGTCAGTTTGTTATCCATCGTGTACTACTTGCATTTGTCATCAACTTCTTTTGCTTAACTATGCATATTTCATATCATGATATAAATATTTTCCTGGTATTCAGACAGTTCAACCACAGTTACCAAAAGAAAGGTTATCAAGTTAGTCTGACTACTTCTACCTTGTGCAAACTGTGTGATTGTACTGTACAATTTGTGTACAAGTTTGTATAAAAGCCATGAATAACATTTATTTCCCTCCCTGTAGTATTTATTCCACCAGCTTTCCTCTACAGAAGGGGAGGTTGTCCCAGAAGGCTGAGAGAAGCATGGTGACAGTGTTCATTTCTCATTTAAGTATTTAGGTTGCAAAAGGGAAGTGGATAAGCAGGATGCAACTACATGAAAGTGCTGATCTGCATTTTATCCCACCTTTTTTTTTGTGTGTGTATTTTCAGGTTTTTAAACACTTTTCCCTTAGGAACTTATTTTTAGGCATTGTATATTATTACAGTCAGGTTAAGAATTCTGCATACAACATTACTTTGTGTGGAATGCAAGTTGCCTCATTTAAGTGTCTCAATTAGGCATGGCATCACTAAAATTTTAGGTACCTGGCACTAGAAGGACTTTTTTTGTGTATGGTCAGTGAAGTTATGGCCCTGAAAATTTACAGAGAGATATCCCTTCACCTGTTTTAAGTAGCCCACAGAGAAAGTGACTTGTTTGGGGACCTAAGGATGTTACTTAGTCCTGAAGGCACTCTCTCCCTTCTAGATATCTTTATCCTGGAATATAGGGAACCCTCAGCTACTCCAGAACCAGTCCACCTTCATTCCCTGTTGAAGGTGGTCACATAATGCCTTTGCACACTCCCTTAAGTGCCAGTGTCCTTCTGAGCAGAAGTAGTTCAAATTAAGCTCTCAAGAAGCTTTCAAACTAGACAGGAAAGGTAGGCAGTCCTGCAAGTGAATAGGCTGGGTTGCTGCCTGGCATTTGGTAAGTGTTGAGTATCTCTGTCCCAGTTAAATCAGGATTTGGAGGGACTGGGTCTATCTATTTGTTTTTCAGACGATATTTAGCTACCACAGCAATGAGACTAAAGCAAGAGGCAATTCTCTAGGGTTTATTTTCATTTTAGCTCACAGACTATGATATTTTGAAGTGTCTGCTTGATAAAAGTATCCTGTTCAGTCACGTCTTTCAAGTAAGCCATTCATGCAAAAAGATACATATGGAAGCACAATCAAATTAGGAAGATCCTTAGATAGCTTGAAGGTGACTAAAATTCTGCGTCTAAGAATGGTCTTAATTCTGCTGCAACAAGCATGCAAGACTTGCATGCACACAGTGAAGCTGTTTAGCAATGTGACTGCAAGTTATGCATAAGCTGGATTGTCTGGTACTTACCTGCTGCAATAGGTAGCCAAAAATAAGTGCAAACCAACCCATTCAGATGAACATGATTTGAAGGTTAGTTTGTTCCAACACCAGTATTTGTCCATGCAGCAAAAGGACACGTGTTTTGTAATTATCTGCAGCTTTTCAATCAGTGAGTGAAAGTAATCAGTTCTGGTATAAGAACTCTTCTCAAAGTATACCAGAACAGAACTAAATGTTCACAGCTTCAGGGTTTAGGGAGGCCTGAACACGTGCATTAAGCTAAAACAAGGATGCACTGAGTGTAGAGCACATTCAAAGCTGTTCTGATAGAAGAATTTTCAAGCACACAAATGTCAGAGAGTAGAAAGAAAGAATTTATAAATGCAGTTTTGAGGTGAGCTATTCAAACACAGCTTGAGTAGATGCTGTTGATTTCCCTGCTTTAGAGTAGCATCTGAACACGTGGTTTCCTTCAAAAACCATTCCAAGGGGCATCAGTGGAGGGACTGCATTATTTAAGATAAACAGGTGGTCCAAGAGAGAAACATCTAGATCTAGCCTGCCTCGTCTCTGACAGAGTTGATAGTACAGTTACACATCTTGGTGAGATAGGTCTCTCCAACCAGTCTGTCATAAGTTGACAAAACAGTGTTCATCCACAATATCTATCTAGACGGAAGAAAGAATTTGCCCAAGTGCAAATGGTTCTAATCCCTTTGCTCAAATATGAGGTTCTCTCCCACATTTACAAACATTCATGGAGTGTATTGTGTGCAAGAGCGAAGGAAGCAGTGATACCTGAATTCTCAATCCTTTTACCTTTTTCACTCAGCTGATTAATTTACATCACACCAGACTGGTTTCCATCACTTGGAGCCACACAAAAGAATTTCTGCTTCTGCTGAGGGAAACAAAAGAACAGTATGTAGGCGGCTTAGATTAGAGGAAGGCTTGTCTATGAAATGGACCAGAATATTTCACCAGAATAATAGCTTCCTACGTGGAAAAGCTATTTTTAAATACATTACCCTTCCCAGAACAATTATTTCGCTCAAAATATTTTTCCAGGATAAAAGGTTTTTCCTTGAGTATAAAATACTCATATGATGACAGAAGATTACTTGTCTTGGTATATTAAACTGGTGCTATCTGAACTATACTTGAAAAATATCCTGGATTATCTGTTTGTGCCAGTTCCCTATTAGATAGGCTCCAGGTATAAAAATAAGAGCTTTGTTCTCATAACTCCCTAAGTTAGTTGGCACCTGAAGACTTGATCTTATCTGATACCTTCTTTTTTTTTTGTTCTGTTCTGCTTCATGTTTCTCTCAGCAAACTTCCAGAGACTGGCCATTGTTTAAACTGTCTATAAATGTATGTAAATGAAGCAATACTCTACTAAAACTCCTATGGTCTTCAGTGGCAGTTTGGCTTATATAAACAATGAAAGATGTAGACTTTGCTTTTTCCTTTTATAGAATAGTCTGCAGTATACTATGGCATGAAGAGAATTAATGGTCTAATTCCCATATAAATCTCATCAACATCAAAGAACACCACTGCCAACACCTTATTTTTTCAAAATTAGCCACTAATGTGCTTATAAGATACAAATACAGAAAATATAGAGATAGAAATAAGATAGTAAAGGGGAGAGGACCATAGTTGTCTTAGTGTGGCATCAGGTTACTTGTTGCCAATGTTTTGATGGCCTCATGGTAAAGGGGTAAGGAAGAGCATAACAGAAGGATTCCCTTCTGTATGGCACAGCTGAGGCTACCTTCAGGAAGTTCAGAACTAAAAGCAGATTCTTTCTTCTAAATTATATTTCATAACATAGTATAACTTCATCATATGTAGTATGCTTATATACATAGTATATAAATGTTATATAGTATTTTATTGTATATAGTTAATTTTACAGCATTAAGTATTATAGGTTTTGTTTTTTCTCCCAGTTTTTATCCAAGAGTCTCAAGGGACTCTGCAGATTTTTTTGAATTCTCCTTCTACTCCAGGATACAACTGTACAACTTAATGCATTGCCATGCAAGGAATCACCAGCACTTCAGAGAAGAAGCATATTTTCAAATTTCAGTGGTTAAATCAAATTCTGTCTTTAGAAACCTCTGCATTGTTTGTAGCTGTCAAAGGAGTGACATAGGGACATTCAAAGAGAGAAATTGGCCCTGAATATACCCTACTAAATTAATTCAATCTTACCTGCAGTTAATTATGTAGTTTTTTGTTGTCACACTGTGAATAGCTTGATCAGACATACCAAGGGTATGAGGCAAGTATGACACTTTGTTAACCTGTTTAAGGGTACTTACAGTCCTTTTTTTTAATTTATCCTAGTCACAGAACAAAAGCATTGAACCAGCTGTGATCTATAGCTAATCCAGAACTCATGAGCTGGTTTCTTTCCTATTTAGCTCTTGGAATTTTTAACAGTTTCCCTTGAGGATGTGGAGAAATTTTGATATATACCAAAGAATCAGAGAAGCAAACACCGAAGGACAAGTCCCGCTAGTTGTCCTGCTCCTGGCTCACAGTAGGATGGCACTAAGTATTTCTTTCTTTGTCTGATTCTTTTCTCCAGAGTCCAACCGAGAGGCTATTGGTGCTGCTCGAGGAGTTACACCCCTACTGTCTCTTGCCAAGTCCTATGATCCCAGAGTCCAACAAAATGCAGTTGGTGCTATTCTCAACCTCACACAATCAGGTACTTTCGGACTAATGGTTTACCTAAATTGCTGAAAGAAAATTTCTCACTGATAGAAAAACAATCCAAAAGGGTTAAAACAAGATTAAAGCATATCTAAGCGTCATTTCCTCTGCATATGGCATTCATGTTGATACCATAGGTTGATGATTTAAGTTTAGCTGATACAGGCCTTTTTTTGCTTAATAGCAAAACAGAAAGGATTGATTTCCAGCTCCGAGGGGCTAGTGTATGAATACTTAAATAATCAAAGAAATAGAAAAAAGAACCAAAAACATTTGTTAAGAACATAACTTGGCATAAAATTTAGCAGAACATTTGGTAGTACTTTGAAGCAACCTCAGAATCTTATCAAACAAAATCAAGTTCTACAAACTTTTTACTTGTTCTAACTAATTTGATGTTGGAATATGCAAAATATAACTATTATGGGTCAGACATTAAAGGCTCCTGGGATATCTGCTAACAGCTTTATCAAAAGCAGTTATTTGATCCTTTGCAATTATATGTACACAACCATACATTAACTCTGAAACGAACCAGCATTAAATCTCACCTACCTAGATGATACCATTATTCCGCAGAGTTAAATGATAAAGTCATGAGTAACACCTCTTAACTCTACCTCGTGGAAAGAAACTGTTGGCAACAACTTATACACTTGGCTAATACAATTCTGTTATTATTTAGAATTTTTAAAAGAATTTGGTTTTGAAGCACAGAAAACATGGTGAAGACAATATCTGAGGCTTTTCAGCTTCTCTAGTGATTACGATCCTCAGAACAGTTTTTAGCATAAAACCAGCAAAAGCTTAATCAGGCAGCCTGCTAGTCATTTTGCTAAAATATCTGCAAACTGCAATATTGCACAAGCTCTAAATTATATACTCTCCAGTCACACTGGCTGGCATATATTTGGACATCAGCACTTTCTAGAATCCAAGGATTGTGCTTATCCCTTTTGAACGGTGCCTCCAGATAAGAGGGAGGAGAGGGGAAAGACACATTTACAGTACTTTTTTTTTTTTCCTTTTTAATGGCAGAGAAAATCCAACAGGTCCTATGCAAGGAAGGAGCCCTACCACTTCTTGCCTTGCTGCTGGAATCTCCTGACTCAGAAGTGCAGGTATGGCTCAAACAGGTCACATTTTAAAACAGTAACAGTGTGACTGTAAGGAGAGCGCAGACGTCAGTCTGTAGAAGTGAAAAGGTGGACAGGAGGGAAGGTTTCTTTAAAGAAGTTAGAAAACATGTGAGAGCATTTTGGTGAAACTCACCTCAGTCAGATAATGCATATTCAAAATACTCAACTTGTCTAGCTCCTCAGGAGAAAGTTTATGATGCAGAAGCGTGTCTGCCAGCACACATTAATGCATACCTTCTTATGTCTTTCAGATCATCAGACAAGTTGCAGATAGTCTCTTCCTCTGGTTTTTTTGTTTGTTTGGTTTTTTTTTTTGGTTCATTGGTTGGTGTTTTTTGGGGTTTTTTTCTTTTGTTTGTTTTGGGTTTTTTGCATCCTAACTGATCTTCCACTCTAAGCAATTTTACTAAGTGTTCTGGGAACACATAACTTGTGAAGATCTTTTTCTTATCATTGTAAATATCTGGAAATCTTCTTTTATGCCTACCAAAGATACCGCTTTGTGATTCTGCACACTCAGCAGGGAACTGGTCTTGGTTCAAAAATATGGTGATGAAAAAACTTTGAATCAGAGTTGTAAGCCTTACCATCCGTTAGTTTGTTCATTCAGTCCTCTGAGTAGCACAGACTAGTTTTCTCCATCAGTTTTATTATCTCTATTCAGTTTTTTTTTAAAATATCTGAAGGGATGGACCCTCTGGAATTGCTTTCTGCAAACTGCCTCAGCATTTTCAGGTTTCTCTGAGATTCATCTTAAAATTTCCTTGTCTGCAGTTCAACCTGTTTCTTCTAATTATACCTCTCCAGTAATACATACTCCTATATGTATAGTCCTCCCCAGCGTTCATATTTAAATCCTTTGGAAAGGATCTCTTGGCATGCTAGGGCAATAACTACATCCAGCTTAAGTAAATCAATGGAAACATATAATACAGTAAATGCAGATGACCTGGATGCCAGGAGCCATGTCGTTGCAGCAGCACAGGACATTCCCAAATAGCCAGGGTCCTAATGAGTTTGTACAACATGCCACAGCAGGACTGCTGCAGTAGCTGCAGCATGTTGTATCCACCCAATAAACACCCTTAAGATGAAAAAGCACTTTTATTTTCTTCAGCTCTAAATATGAGCATTTCTCCAATTTATTTGTATTCTCTTCAACATGACACCACTGTGACCTCCTCTCTCTCTACTCTTTTTCTTGGTCCTTTGCAGTATTACAGCTGTGCTGCCCTAAGCAACGTGGCAGCCAACGTTCAGCACCACAAAGCCTTGCTGAGACCTGGTGACAGATTCCTGCTACGGACACTCATCTCTCTCCTATCCTCTTCTGTGGACAAGGTAAAGCTGTAGCTTTTCCTTTGTGTAAAGGCTTAGCATTGAAGTAGAGCTATAAACTTGGGCTTCCAGTTTTCAGCCTCACACCATTCTGCTTACCTACTGTGCAGGTACCCACGAGAAAAGACAGCTGTATTAGAAGGTACATAGGTTCTACAAGGTCAATGTATGGAGAAAGCAAAGGGAAATCATTAAAGTTGTTCCACTGCCCTGGACACTTCCATTAGACTAGGATGGCCTGTATGCTATTAACTTGAAACTTCATGTGTGAAGTGCCCTGTCCAGGCTCTGTCTTTGATCATTTTGTCTGTGACAGGAGGTGTCAAGCATCTTTCATGCTACTTTTTTTAATTTTTGGTATCTGGAACTTTTACTATATAGCTTCGAGGAATAACATCCTGAAAATTTTGCTTTGCTGGGAGTCACATCAAAGGAACTTCAATAAGCCACAGTACAGGATTTAAAGGGTGGAACCTCAAACACTGTGTAGAAGGGAGGCGAAAAAAAGGCAAAGCAAATGGGACAATTCCTTTCCCTTCATTTTCCTATAACTTATCTGACATTCTAAACCAAAACCAACATCTGAACCCCACTGGCTCTTCTTCATCAACAACAGGATGACTGATACTAAGAGGTTGAAGAAAATTCATCAGAACTTTGAAAAAAATCATATACCAAAATATATTCTCTGAAGTTAGAGTCATCATGTTTATTTTGTGTACAATAGGCAAGAACATGCATTACTGAAACTGCTCTTTTTCTCCTTCTCTCATTCCTTTTTTTTTTTCCCTCTTTGGCACAAGCAGGTTTCAAGCCAGGCATGTGTTTGCCTAAGAAATTTGGCTATCAGTGGTAAGCAATATCTTGGAGATAAGCAAACCACACTATTTCTTTCTTTCTCTGCCTTTCGGAGTAAGCACAGTGGGCTGGGAACTTTTCATATTGAAAGCAAAGAGATACCCTCTTTTCTACATTTTAACTGGATGTTAAGGGAAGAGGGGGGTGCGGTGCATATCCTAACTAAATCTGCCTCAGAGCTCCCAGGTAGCGAGGGGAAATATCTGGACAAAGTGAGAAAGGCAGAAGAGGTCTTCTTATGCACAGAGCCCTAGTAAGTTGCTAAGTTTTTCTCCCTTCCATGTTTCCTAAGCATTAAACCTGATTAGGAGAGAGAATGTCTCCCAAAATTGCTCCTTGAGGGGACCTGTCTTCTCCCAAGGCATGATTCTGTCTATCATTAAAGATAATTTTCTCCCAAGCATTTGTCATCAGCTTAAAAAAACCTATCCTATTAAATGTCCAGGTTTCGTTTCTATGACATACTTAGGAGATGAAAGTGGAGGACTGGCACGCTCAGTGCTAAAGCCCCACAGTCCAGGGTAGAGTTGTTCATCTAGAAAATGTAGAGGTGCTTAATTTTCAAGCAATCACAATTATAATGGAGCTGAGAGTGAAAGAACTGCTGCGCTGCTCCTTGGTGCGGTTGAAGCCCCCTGGTCTGCTTGACCATTTAGATCTGCCTCACCATCTGCTAGCTGCTCTGACAGGGCCTTTTAGTGCCCTAAAGCACTTGCTGAGGTTGCAGAGACAAGTGAGGTATAACAATTCAGTGGGATGGCTGATCTCTCCCCTGGCAACCATAACTCTGCTTGATAGATGGTGCTTGGGGAGGTCTTTCTGTCTGTACAACAGAAGCTGCCACCTTCTTACCCGGCCTTATGCCAATGATGGACTCAGAAAATTCCCCTCATTCTTCTTTTTGACATTCAGATACAGACTGAGGGTGTCCAAACCTACATTCTGCCATCAAGCTTATATTAATCCCTCAGCAAAAGGAGCCAGAATGAATGAGGGTTTATTTTTTTAACCGAACATCTAGCGTTGTCCCATCTTGTGGAGATGGGGAGGTGCCCTCTAATTTGATCACTGAGGCACAGTCAACTGTTTGAGTCAGAGCCTGAATGCCTCCTTGCAGTGCTCTGAACCTCCCTGACTCAGTCATTTTCCCAAACCAGCGGACATCCAGGCTGAGATGGTTGCTGAGAATGTCCTGTCCAAGCTGTGCTCTCTCCTGGCATCTGGCAGCGAGGACGTGCGTCGTGCCTCCATCGCTCTGCTCTGGATACTGTCCCAGCACCTGCACAACCAGGTAGGGGAGGTCATTTCCCAAGAATAGAAGGGAAAGAGTAGTTCTGGCCTGGGGTAACACTCTGTTATGGCAAAACTGCATGTGAAATGGATTTTGAGAATGACCAATAGGCTCTGGGAGACTTCCCAACCCTTCTCTTTCCCACCCAAAAATAACAAGGCTTTGTTTACTGCATTTGCACTGTCACTAACTACCCAAGGAGCCATCTGTTGTGGTGAGTGGGGTCCAAAGAAGAGACCAGTGAGAGAGTAGAGGGAGAGATGGGTGTCAGATTCCTTGGATATGTGGCTACTGCTTTGTGCTCCCTGCAACTCCCTATGGTCCCCTCAGTCCCCAGACCATAGGTCGCCACATGGGTGTACAAGGGGGAGGACACATGCATAGCACCGTGAGAGACTGCCACCACGGGGGCAACCAAGGAAGTTATTTCTTGGCTACAGAACTTCCCCATAGACTGAAAAGCAGATAAACTAATTTAGAGCACTCATTTAAAGTGCATCAGTGCAAAATAAAGGGCAAATACGCATTACCTCTCTAAATGGACAGTTTTATTCATAAGTACACTTTTTGAATTAGGATCAAAACAACAAGAGGGACTAATAGAATTTGAAATCCTGTCTATCTTTAGTTAATTCATTAGGACTTTTACTAGGACTGTATATCCTCATGTCCTTAGTTACAGAATGGTTCTTTTGCCCATGATCTGGGTAAACACCACCATTAACAGTGCAAATACATGAAGAAGTCTGACTAGAAATAAACTACAGCAAATATTGACAAATTATTATTATTTTTAAATCTGCTTTCTCTTTAATTAAAGACATCCTTAGAACATGGATGTAAAAAGTTTTCGATAGGTGTTTTAAGCTAACAAAAACATTTTAAGATAGTCAGAGGTTGGGTGCATAAAGCAAAAACAAATTGAGAATCTTTCCTGCTTTGAACAGTAATGACAATCTGAATAACCATAGGTGGCCTTAGGTGCTTCTTGTGGATTAAATATACTCAGCCTGATTGGAATTTTTTTTCTGGGAATTGGAAGCTTGGTGCCAAGCAGCTCAGTTTCCTGTACACAGCACAGTGCAAACCAAATTGCACCTTCTCTAACTCTGGGACATGATTAAAAAAATGGGTAAATTCAATGCCTGGGAAGTAGCAACTAGAGCTATTCAAAGGCATAGTGGCTTCACAGGTTTTGTGCTGGCTGCATGAGCACCAAACATCCTCATTGCTTGTCTAACTGCCTCATACAATCAAAACACAATTTGCCCTCAACAAGCTTACTACTGTAATACATTAAATTAATTGGAGGCTATTTGCACAGTAAAAACATTACTCAGTATGAGGCATTATGCTGGAACATTGTCCTCACAGAATCACAGAATATGCTGAGTTGGAAGGGACCCAAAAGGATCATCGAGTCCAACTCTCAGCCCTGCAAAGCATCATCCACAAGCATCATACCATGACAGTATCACCCAAACACTTCTTGAACTCTGGCAGGCTTAGTGCTGTGACCACTTCCCTCACTTTTGCTTTTCTTGTCCCCAAAGATCATTTACACTTTTTATTCTCCCAGCAAAGAGTACCTGCAAATCCTCTCCTCCCTGATCCTGAAAGTTGTCTTTACCAGTGCTTCAAACCCCCAGCTACAAAGAGCCATGGTGCAGCATCAGTGGGAGCAAAGGCACTGGGAGCTCAGCCTTGTTACACCAGCAGTGAAACAGACCATCCTTCTTGGGGGAAAAAGGATCAGCAGCAGGAGACTGGAAAGCAAAGCATCACCCTTGAGGCTTTATTCTCCAGTGAGAAATACCTACATCTCAAAATTTGTTTTAGCAAGCAAACACGGCTGTCCCTGACTACTGAATGTTGCTGCTTTGTGCAAGTGAGCCCAGGGCACTCTGAGAAGAGGTTGACCTATCCTTACTCATATCCTGGCTCCCCACCTCCATGCCTTTTCTGGCCTGTTTTTCAAATCTTTTCAAAGTTTCTTTCTCTAACTCAGACTGAATTCACTGTGAGTGAAAGAGGGACTTCTCCATGGGAACAACTGTTACAAAACAAACCACTGAACAAAGCTAACCTTTACAACCAAGTCAAGTGATGCTTGAATTATTACAAATACTACCCAGGATACAATGGGGCAGAATCCATCTGCCCCTTCGTTACCATGAAGCAAACACCCAGGAATGTTTCACAGGAGCTCCTCTCCCTGCTTCAGCCCCTTTTTTCCAATCCCTGACCAGGCTGTTGACAGGGATTCCCAGCAAGAGCTGGAAAACTTCCCTCTTGCAGGGGGAATTTTATTCAGTTCTCCCAAGGACAGCCCAACCCTGAAACACTAAAGAATCAACCTTTGTGAGAAAACAGTCTTTTGATTCAAATTCCTTTAAGCAAAGACCTGGAAGTCAGGCTGGCAGAGGTCTGTCTACTGCAGATGGTGCCACTGACTCTCCATTCCAGGTACAAAATAACTTTGCCTTCCCTTCTTGCTAACTGGTAAACAGGGGCAATATTTATCTTGTCAAGAAATCTCTGTGTAAGGAGTACAAGTGCAGCATTGCAATTTTAAGCACACTTGCTGCTAGAATGCTTTTCCTTGCCTTTTTAAAAAAATATTCTAAAATTGGGGGAAATGACATCAATATCCATCTGAACCACTCAATCTATTTTTACTCACAGTTTTCTCGTGATTCTCTTGCACTGTGCAGGATTGAGCCAGAAAACAAAATCTGGATCCCAACCATATTCCAGCCAAAGAAAGAGGTTCAGCAAAATTCAAAGTACTTGCTAATGTAGGTCCTAAATAAACAAAAGAATCTGGCAGGGAAGTCATTTTAAATTAGAAAGTTTATTTATAGTCTACAGAAAATTTCCTCCTCTCAGGCCGTAGCAAATCAAATACAAGTATCTTAGTTGATGGGATTACATATAAAAGAGGACACTGGGTCCAAAAGCATAGAAAACAGTCATCACTGGTAATTTAATTAGATTATCTAAATTTATATTATTTCTGCCTTTGAAGAGAAGGAAAAATAAGATTAAAGAAAATTTAGTCATGTCGGCATATAGGATTCCTTAAATGCCCTGAGTTTAGACATAGCACTGCCCTTTCCATTTATTTTCATCTTTTATTTTAGGATAGCTAGTTGTGACAGTGTTTAAAATAAATGTTAAATGAAGATGTCAGCTGATATTAAAAGAAAATAAGATACACTTTTGCAATTTAACCTAAGTAAAAGAAAGATGCAAGTTAAACTAACTTTTAAAGACATCTGCCTTTCAACGCTACTTTAGCAATCCTGACATTTCACAGGTTTCAGAATTATGCAATTTTTCACAACTACATACAGGACCAATGATTTGTTTTATATTGAACTCCCCTGCTAATGTGCCTCAGTTTCTAAGTAGTACAAATGATATAATTCATTGCAAACAAATAGAAGAACTGCATGAAGAACTCAAATTCCTAAGGGAAGGAGACTGAAAGAAAAAAAACACTCCCAAGAGGAAATCTTTTGCTTTTAACTGCAGACCTCATCCAAAGCTGGCTGAGGTCATGTTTCTCTTACAAACAGCGGTGCCCTCTTAATCCATACTGTTATTCAGGCAACTACCTGGGCAGTAATCCAAACTCAGATCTGATACTATGGGACAGAGGGTAACAGCTTCAAACTGAAAGACGGTAGATTTAGATTTGATATTAGGAGAAACAGTTATTTACTGTGAGGATGGTGAGGCACTGGAACAGGTTGCCCAGCGAAGTTGTGGATACCCCATCCCTGGAAGTGTTTAAAGTCAGGTTGGATGGGGCTGTGAGCAGCCTGGTCTAGTGGAAGGTGTCCTTGCCCACAGGAGGGTGGTTTGAACTAGATGATTTTAAAGGTCCCATTCAACCCAAACCATTCAATGATTCAATTAATATTAGTGGTAATTGGAGGAAGATTACATTCAGAGAGAGATACTTAGTAAAGTCCTTCTAAAATATCCATCAGACAGCAGAGAAATATGTTTAAACTCAGATGTTGTTCAGAACATGTTACTAAAGTGGTGCCTCATTACAAACTGGCCTAAAAACACAGCCCATTATTGTAGGCAAGGTAAATTGCTGAGGTACTCAAGGACACACTGCTGCGGCTACTTCACCACGTACTTCTGCCTTTCACATATACCCTGACTACTTCTCCTTCCAGTCAGGATCACATATCCCTTCCCCTGACTATGAACAACTTCTGGGAAGGAATTGATGTGCAAACAAAGATAAACTACAAGACCTTAAAGACTCCAGCCTTACACAGCAAGTGCTCTGTACATCAGTGCCAGTCAGTAGACCATATCTGAGAGAAAAAGCACTGGACCTAGCCACATCATTGGTTTAAATGAGCTAACCAATGCTCTTCTTTCAGAGCTGAGATCGACCTGTCTATAGCTGTGTGAAGCTGCGATATGTTGTCCATATTGGATGTAACTGAGATACCGGTTACTCTTCTCAGGACACTCTGGCATGTGCTGAGCTACTGCAGAGCCTGGGGATGTTACTGTCGGTGCATAAAACAGACCCTGTGATTGTTGGACATACTGCTTGTATCATCAAAAACCTGAGCCTTTCCAAAAACAGACAGGTAGGTACCCAATATTTTTCACTGAGCTATACCCCAGGAGGTTGCCATTATGTTTATATCAAATCAGCATTAAAAAAAATTTTAAATTTCTGTGGATAATTAAATATATGCCAAGGATATTCTACACAAAATTCTAGGTATGAATAAAAGGACCTGATGTGCCATAATGAAAGGAGGGTTTATTCATATTTTCCCAATACAATAATGCTAATGAAAATAAGAAATATTTAATTTTTTCTATCAGTGATGTCATTACCTAATTGAAATGACTGCATCATAGGTATAAAACATTCCTCTAGCAAGACATTTCATGCTAATTAAAGGAACCATCCAGGAAAATCTCAGGTCTGTTATAAGCTGCATCTTTATTTCCTAGCTCTCATGCTTCAGCTGCCCTTTATTGTCAAATATAACCTGACCTATTGACGTATATTTTACCTGTTTGGCAAGATACCAGTTGTGCCAAAATGTTATAAAGATATCTGTTGCTGAGTTTGCTTTGAAATCCGTATGCACAGATGCACTTCCTTTTTCCTTGCCTTTAAGAGTACCTTGATCAAAGAGTACCATTAGTAACAGTCAATACTGGGGGGGGGGAACAACCACCTAAATCTTCATTTCTGCTTTGTCCCACTTCCTAGTACACACTTTTCAAAACTCAGTTCTTTTTCCTCTTTTTTCATGATCCAATTGCCACTAGTTCCAGACATTTAAACTAGCCAGAAGGAAAAGTATGGTATTTTTTTACTGGTATTAAGATAAGAATTATATAAATTTCTAATAGTTGAGAAATCAAGTTTTTCAAGGAACTAGATTCCCTCAAACTCAAGGCCCACAGTAAGAGTAAAAATGGACCATCCTTTCAAAGTTTGACAAATATGGTCATTTTTTTAAAGTTCTTAGATTTTGTGACTTTATTCTGTTATCAGTCGGGAGCTGGTTCACCTTCATAAAGCTTTATAATGTATAGACTACCTAGCTCTCACTGCATAAGTGAATACACAGACATAACTGGGAGTGCCAGGTTTCCAGGGTCAATTCTAAGGAACACTTTCTAAAACACAGAAGAGTCCTTGGCACAAGAGATAAAAACCGGTGTTGTTTTTATGCCAGCAGGACACAGAGCGTGGGAGCTTGAAAGGCAGCAGTGTTGGATCCATCTTCAACCTCTAAGCAGCAAGTTAAAAACTGCAACATAAAAAAAAAAAGATATTCTCTTTTGTTGATAGACACCTGAGCTCACTTAAAGAGCTGTGATCAGCTTCCATTATTAGGATCTCCCAGTAAAGATGACTTTGTGATTCAAATTCATTACTAACCAGTCACTTCCAGTCACAGTGAGGTGACTCATTCAGAACTCATTTTTTGGTCTCATGTGCTTTTAATCCAGGTCAGCACAGGCTCAGTCTCCTGTTTTCAACTCGGTCTATAAAACATATATCCCAGTACAGAGACATGCTGTCCAACACCACTTTTGGCATAGCAGATTCAGCCTAAAAGATAAGGGATACACAAAAACATCTAATTTGTAACATTTCTCTGCAGAAATAGAATTCACCACTGCTAGTGAGAGGTCATCCCATGTTTCTGCAGATCAGAGCATTTCAGCACCAGATAGTTTTCAAAGACCTGAAGACAAACAAGGAAAACTAAAAACCTTCCACATTTCCCAATGCCTTGCCCTGGAGCACTCAGCTTATTCACCTCTGCAGCAAGATTTAAGCCAACGACAGCTCACTGCTAACATACAGTGATGTAAAACAGCAATAGGTCAGGAAATTCTTTGAGCTCAGAATGATTGGTGATCGTGAGAACATCCCACAGACAGAGCAAGCCCTGAGAAAGGCCCAAAATCGGATGATCTCTGAACAATTCGAGGCATTGTCACGTGGTTGTGGTAGATCTGGGAGAAGACATTTCCATTATTGATGGTTTAGCCCTCAGTATTGTTACAGTACTTCTGAAGTCCTCAGAATCCACTAAACCATAAGGAAAATGCTAAACATCAATCTCTTTCCCTCGTTGCAGAGAATCATGGAGAGCGGGTGTATTGAAGGTCTCCTCCAGACCATGCTTTCTACCGACACTCAAGAGGACTCCCTTCGTTACGTGACATCTTGCCTTGCTGAACTTGCAAAGCAAGGTAGGGACGCAACCCCTCCATAAACAGCTCAATCAGAGAAGCGTACATGTCCTTTATTAACTCCAATAGGAGATGAAGCACAGGTGGACATGGACATACAGCCCAGGTCTTTCCCTTTAAATTCATTGTGAGTTTTGCCACGAGCTTCAAGAGCAAGATCCAATTCACTGGCAGGACATATGGGCTCCACTCTCTGCACTTTATTTCATTGAACTGCTTAAAATTTTTTACTCAGATTTTTTTGTGCTGAACTTTGCTGCTGTACATGGCTTGTCTACTTCTATTTGTAACATTTCCAAGTTTCTCAGGGTGAGATAATTTTACAATAGCAAAAACTAATATAAAAAGGGGAAAAGACTAAAATACAAAGTAGCATTTTCTCTTGAAATTTTTTGCACATGGATTTTATAAAAGATCCCAAATTAACAGTTGTGAAAGGTACAGCACTCCTTATGGCAGAAAGGATCAGTGTAATTTTTCCCAACATGCCCTGGCACTGAATATTGTCTGTCAAACAAGTCATCTCTTGTATCTGGTGTAACGGCCATGTAACTGGCAACATGTCACACTCAATTTTGCAAGAGGTGCCCAGCAGCTGCTGGATAGACTGAACCTACTAGGCTACAAGTGGATCGTACATAAAGTGGTTCATTGTTTCAGAACGTAAAACCAATAAAATATGAATTAAACCCATGGCCCTATCTTACTGAGAGCATAACCTCAGGCCATGACCCTTTTTTACCACCTAAACATACTTACCAACCAAGCTCAGCACTTATTTCGCTTCTCCAGCTGCATGAACAATTCCCTGTTTAGGCTGTATGGTTTCTGGCAGAACTCTCTACTTCATTTCTTCAACACTGGACTTTCTGTTTACAGACTACTCTCTTTCTGTCTTCTAGAAGGAGCCACACTACACATGGTCCAATGGATGGATGAACATTTGACAAAGTGCTTGGTGAGACTGGCTGGCCAACTGGAACACACTGAGTCATCCTTTCAAGCTGCCTCCATCATCCAGCACATGATAGGTCACGGTAACTGTCACACGGGATTAACTCTGCTTTGAAGGAGTGTTGCGGCTGTCTGGAGTGAAATTAGCCTTTTCCAAAAGGAGATAACTGTCAGGCACCCAACAACCTTTAATGTTCCTATAGCATCCTCCATCTGGTCTCTACAAATGTATTAGCATAAAAGTGCCTACTGTCACCCTTGAAATAGAATAGTGCTTGAATGCATGAGAAAGCCCAGGGATGAAAGTGGACCACAAAGGTTGAATCACATTTTCATTGCCTTCTTCAAGCACTGCCATTCTGCAGGGCTAGTCTGTAGCCAATTCTGAGGTCCTTAAAAACAACTTAAATAGGAAGGTTGGAGACAGTTAAGATATTCCTTACCATGGGAAAGATGAGAACATGTTTCAGACAAGTCATTGTTACATCCTTCTGATTGACCTTCCTTCTCAGTATATACAATGTGATGGCATTCCCTACAGATAAAAGCAGAGGTTACATTCCAAAATTCTAGATAAACTCTGCTGTCTGACTAGCAAAAGGAAAGCTCTTACCAAACCAAATCCTGCTGTTGTAATTCTAGACTAGGTTAGGAGGAGCAGTGAAGTGGCTTTTAAGAATGGAGTCAAAATTTTTTCAGTTTCAGTGGGAGAATAAAAAGAGCATTACCTGTAGCAAACAAACAGCTTTATGCTTAATATACATGTGCCATGCAGCTGAGAGCCTTTAGACTTGCAAGAAAAAGGTGTTCAGATAATTCTTGCCATGCTCTCTAGAAAGGCATGGTTAGATTTTAGACCTTAGATGTGCAAAGACTGAAATCCATAATGAGTCTCCAGTAAGGGAAAATGCAAATCTGTTTCATTTCTGCCACTGAGGGTTTGCAACAGAGCAGACTCTCAGGCAGTGAACAGAGTCCAACAGCATAATCACTTCAGGTTAGTATGACAGGCTTATCAGTCCATAAATCAGCAGGCACCTTGCACAAGGACCAGATTCCTAGCACAGCAGCCCATTCAGCGTTTTATTTACCTGAAGTATCAGCGATATTGCCAGAAGCTGCAGTACAGGGAAGTCCCTTGCCAGTCTTTGCAGTAATGCTGGTTGTAGCTGAAGGTAGATGAGTCATTAATGATCTTACAAATGTTACAAAAATCAGTTTTCAAAGTGTTTTAAAGGTTTGTATTGATCTCCAGTGGTCCTCCCATTTATGCAGAAAAAATGATGCTTTTATGGAAGCATCACATTGGAGAGATTCAAGCGTACCTCAAGAATTTTCTTACCCACCGAGAGATCCGGTTTCAGCAGCTGGGCATCTCCACATTCTGCAGACTACGAAAAGGTAAGTCCTTCCTGCTAGGCTGAGCCCCCAGGGTGCTCTCAGAGCCTGCCTGCACCTATCAGTGGCAAGCAGGCACTGCTTTGGAACAGAAATCAAAATCATTAAGCTTGGAAAAGACCTCTAAGATCATGGAGTCCAACCACTGACAGTGCCGGGCAAACTCCTCTGGGGACTAGCTCTGCTCACTTAAGCAAACACAATAATCTCAAGGGTAGCTGTTACCACACCTGTTCTAAAGTAACTAAGAGTATCTTATGATAAAAGTGGGAAGGTTTTGTTTGTTTATTTGTGCGCTTTAAAACTAAAGCCTTTCTGATCAGCAGGGAAATAGGACTTCGGGTACAGATGCTTTTATCCAATATATTTGGCAATAGATGCAATCTAAAAATTCTTTAAATCTGAAAGCAGTTTATTTTGATAAAGCAAGCAAATAAGCAAATTTCATGATTAGCTGCTATTAAAGTGGGAAGTCTCACATCTTTTTCATACTCTAAAGTCCATTCCTTAATATTTTTCTGGTTTTAGTCTTTTTGGTTTTGGGTAAAAGTTGAGTACTTATGAGAGTTTTAATGTGGTAATAAATATATATAATATATAGCATATATCTTTTCACATGTAGAGTCAGAGTCAAGACCTTGCTATGACTTGATATGCAGCTGCTGCATAAAGCTGCATTTAGACATCTGGATCAGGAGAACTTAGCAGCAATCTTGAATAGTTGTAGGGATGAAAACTGAATTTGTATCTGCCTTCTGTGGTAGAAGAATATTGTTCTGCCTTCTCTGTTATTCCTTTACAGATCCAGAATTTTCATTAGCATTCAGAAAAAGCCAAATGGCCAAACTCCTTGAGCAAGTCCGTCAACAAACAGAAGAAACTCAAGAGCTCCTTAAGGCAGCTATTTGCCATGAAGACAGTTAAGCCAAATGGCTTATGAAAACTTATCACATTCAAGAGTCTGAACTTTCAGAGAAAACAACTCTTTTCATTGATTCCTGTAGCTAAAAGTTTTCCTGCTACTTGCATTTTCATCATACAGAAGAGAGGTTCTGATAACAAGAACTGGAGCACGTCAAAAACCAATTCCTTGAACATTTTGGTTGGCTGCTTAAGTGTGCTTGAGGACAAGACTATGGTCCTTTCCAAATGGGGTGTGAAAAACACCCGTTATGCTTGGTTAATCCTCCATGGTTTGTTTTTGGTTTCCTCACCACCACCCCCCTTCAAAAAAAAAAAGCACTGTATTCATGAGGTTTTCTTCATATAACAGGCCAATTCCACTGAAGAGGCATCTCAAGTATGCAGGTTACTCTGCATTCATCTTTATTTTGTTTCTGTTCCATGCCCCTTATTTCAGAGCACACTCCAGGGTCTTTGGAAAATAACTGAATTAACGCACAGTATAAAAGCAGAAAACTACTAACAGGTTACTACAGAAAGTAAGTGATGAGGGACAGTTCAGAAATCGCAAGAAATTTGTAACAGACAAGAATGGGGCAAGCCTTCCGGCTGATCCTTGTCCAAACTATAGACACTACTCTCCAGCAGAGGAGCAAAGGCACATTTAAGGCAAGTAAAATGTTGCACAGAGCATGTATACAATACAGTAGCAACCATGAATTATTTAGGTGACGTGTTTGAATACAGAGATCTGTGTTCTGCAAATGTTAAATTATTTCCAAAGGTACTTGCAACAGGGAAAAAGTAAATATATTTGGTAAAATTAGGAATTGTTCTTGTACTTGGATGCTGATACTTCATTTTAAAAAGAGGTAAAGAACAAAAAACCTAGTAATATGTTTAAATTCAACTAATTTCCTTACATGTATACAGAATATGGGACAACCTCCCCTTCCTTCTCCTCCAGAGAAGAAGCTCTCTCAAATTCTTAGCCAATCAAAACAGTATTTTTCAGGAAAAAAAATGTAGCACAGAGCTTTGAAATTATGGGGCACTGTTTTTTTAATATAGGTTTTAATTTGTGAGAGAATAGTAATCTAATAATCATAAAAATAATGACAAAAATAATAATCTATTAGTAATCCAATTCCATCTTTGATCAATACACTGGTTTTTGAATACAAAAATCCTCCTGAAGCTTCATGTTGAACTAGCTGGAATACTGAAATTCTGGAACCACTCTTATAGCAAGCATCTGCTGCTAGATAGCAGTTTCTTATGAAAACATTTCAGAAGTTTCCTGACTGTCATGGTGTAACCCCAGCTGGCAGCTCAGCCCCATGCAGCCACTTGTTCACTCCCCCTAAAAGTGAGAAGACTTGTGGGTTGACATAAAGACAGTTCGACAGGGAAAGCAAAAGCCACGCACACAAGCAAAGCTCTGCTTGTGTGTCCACTTCCTGTGGGCCAGGCAGGTGTTCAGCCATCTCCAGGAAAGCTGAGCTCCCTCATGTGTAATGGTTACTTGCGAAGACACACACCATAACTCTGAATACCCTCCCTTTCCTCCTCCTTCCCCTCCCTTTATATGCTCAGCATGACACTGTATGGTTTGGAATGTCCCTTTGGTCAGCTAGGATCAGCTGTCCCAGCTGTGTCCGCTCCCAACTTTTTGCGCATCCTCAGCCTCCTTGCTGGTGGGGTGGTGTGATAGGCTGACTCTGGGCAAGTGCTGCTCAGCAGTAACTAAAACACATTGTTATCAACACTACGTTCAGCACAAATCCAAAACGCAGCCCCCCTCTACCTACTGTGAAGAAAACTAACTCTACCCCAGCCAAAAGCATCACACTGTCTTTTGAGGTACTGCTGATCATGTTGTAACTCTTACGTGCATGTAGAGCTTTAGAGCTGCTATTGGCTACAAACATGGAATAAAAGTGAGAGTAAAAAAAACAGTTTAAAAAAATCATTTTGTCAATTAAGAGCTCAGTGTTGCATTTTAATGTGGCCCAAATCTTTAAGCTTAATTTTGGTGCTTTGGGGAAACATTTTTGATAATGATACCTTTTAATATCTGCAAGTTTTTTCCAACAGTACTCATTGGGAAACAAACAAACAAACAAACAAACCCACCTAAAACCAAACAAAACAAACTTCACACTCAAAATCCTCTCTGCAGTGCAGTAAGAGGGCCTGGTAAAGTACAGGGCAGACAGAAACCTCAGATAAAGCAATATGGCATTTTCAATATTCATGTGTGACAGAAATTTTGTTTTGAAATCTCATATGAAAAGCCATGTGCTCACCTTTGGCCAGGTGGACTCAGTGAAACATAGGACTAACTGAATGACACAGCTAGGAACAAAATCCCAAAATCTCAAAACTTCAGACCACCTCCGTGGGTGACTTTAGATGAGTTTCCAAAAAGAAAATTAGTGCAATATTAAGTAATTATATCAGAATCTGTCCTGTATCTGTATTCTTCTGTATTTAATTGCAAACATTATTTCAAAGTCTTAGCAAGAAAAAAAATAACAAAGCATTCTTTATCAGGAATGAGGAGATAAAAGATGTGAAACAAGCAAAGCTAATGGTGAACAACCCACCAGTCGTGATGTACTGAACTACACTCATTTATGTTGTGCTGTTAAGATGTGACCAAGGAGCTGAGTCTTTCCAAAGCACATAGCTCACTGCTGTGAAAGGTTACTACTCTGTACCTTCAGTACAGCTGTCTGCAACTTCTACAATTGCTAGTTCTACCTCACTGAGTAGTTCAGTTTTGCCTCTGATAGTAGACAACAAAATCAGTGGCAATAGAAGGGAAAGGAGCTGGCCTTCACTCAATACTATATTTTATTGTCAAGAACAACACTCAACAGAAGAGAAACTATTTCCCCCTTCATTTAAAGAAAGAGAATTAACCAAAAGACTTAAAAATTCAAAATTCAATCTTTTTTTTTTTAAACTGATACACCTAATTCTACTTGCAATTTCTCAGTCTTTGTTTTGTTATCAGGCCCTTGAAACAGAGGAAATACTCTCTCTCATTTGAAGCAAACCTGGACTGAATGTAGTGATAAATTGTTAAAAAAAAAATCAAACCAAAAAAAGCAAAGTACAGATGAGAAATGAAGCAGGGCCTTAATCTGTGCTGCAAACAGTGAAGCAAGTGTTCTGAAGTCTCACAAAAAACAGATCAGCAAAATATAGACCCAAGCCAAAATAGCTCAAGATCAACATAATTTAAACCTGAGCCTAAAAGAATCCCCAGACTTAAAACTGAAGCCAAATCTTACTGGCTATTTTTTGTTCAGTTTGTAGCTGCAAGTGACTTTGTACTGATTTTCTATTTAAAAAATTAGATGAAACCTGAAGCAAGTTTTAAGCAGACCAGGAGTAGTGAGAAGAGTTTTCCACCAGAGATTGACTTCTGCTTCAGCTATGCAAGAAAATGAAAATATAAGTAGAAATAAATATTTCAAACAAGTTTTATTTGGTACTTACATGCTATATATAGTTTTAAAGAAAAACTACATATTTTGGACACTTCAAAATATTGTGGCTATGTACATGGAAAACTAAAGAAAGCAAGAAAGGAACCCAATTCATTTTACTGTGTCACAAGTTACTATTGAAAGCATTCTGACTGAATGGCTGTTTTTTTCCCTTCCATATAGATTCTGGCAGATGAAGTCTCTTTCATTTTATTTCCATTGCTTTTATCCCATCTCCTCTATAAGATGAACACTTGGCAGCAGCAGAAGTTTCTTCAAAAATTCTTCAGCTTTTGTCTCAGAGGATTTCTTCTGCTAGCACAGACTTTCTGCACAGCTTCCTAGAGGCCTCGCTCAGTGCTCACTAAAGGCAAGTACAGGAATCTTAATGATACATTCTCTCTTAGCATGAGCTGAAACCCCGTGAACCTCCATTTCCCTTGCCAAGGATCTTCTCACTGACTTCAGAGAGCAATGCCTCAAGCCCTCCTTGATGCTTCAAACTCGAATGCCTAGACTGAGCTCTGCCTGCAACAGCATTGTTTAGGAAAGCACAAAAACGTGCAAAATTTTACAGTTCTGCACAACACAACCGAAAGTGAGGGATGGAACAATGACAGCAGAAATCAGCATCAAACTAAAGAGAAAGCAACTTGCATTGCTCCTCTTATCACTCAAACTGCACTGCTTTATAAAAACCACACACTGCATAAAAAGCACAATGACCATTTTCCATTTGCTCTGAAACGAGCAAAACCGAGAAATCCCAAACCTGCATCATCCAAAATCAAATATTTCAGGTTTCACACAGTCTTCAGTAGTTTGATAAGGCAAAGGAAAAGTCTTCCATCATTGGGAACAGCAGCAACTTACAGGACTCAGAATAAGGTATTTCCTTGTGTGTGTCTGCACACGTTTGTGTGCATATGCATACACATCTTTTATAGGTTTGTGAACATGGACGTAACCAAAAAAAAAAATCAAGTTTGCAGTATCTTTTTACCACATTTGTCTAATTTATTCAATTAAATGATTTATTTCTGTACTGAGCAAAATTCATAAATACATAATCTAGAAGAACAATAGGTTTTCCTCTTGTCCATGAAAAAATAACGCTTTCAAATTTTCACATTTTAAAATCTGTCTTGTTTTGTGTTTTTAGAGAAAATGCGAGAAGATCATAGTGACGTCTCAATTTACAGAATGTCCCTGTAGGGATTTCATTTAAAAGAACCTGATACAGAAGCCTACAGTTTGCCTCCATAATTAGAGTTCTCTGCAATAACATTTAAACCAACAGGTTTAAATAAAACACCCCATTAGCTCTACTTGTAGAGCAACGAGGCATTTATTTTTCAAGTATTAGAACCACAAAGTGTAAAAGATTCTTTGCCAATTTTATAATTATGCCTTTTAAACCAACACTCACCTTTTTTAAAAAAGCAAAAAAGAATCAGTCCCACCACCCAAATCAGCCCATTACTTTCAGATTCCAGTGTCTGGTGTCTTAAGGAATGCAGAAATATCCATTTACTAACAAAAAAAGCTCGTTGGAAATAGCCATATTAAGTAACGCACGTGAAGCATGATTTTTCTAGTGATGAAAGCTATTAGAAAGGTGATCCAAGTCTATTCCCCTCATTTCTTCTGCTGGTTTTACTAAAGTCCTTCCAAAAAAGATATTCAAGAAATCTTTAAAAAACTGGAGAGAAAAAATAAAACACTCCTTCATAGCATGGAAAAAACTCCACTGACTGCAGAGACGCTCATATCACCTTTGGTTCTTCAGAAGAAACAATCAGATCACTTCTACAACAGAAAGTAACAAAAATGACAGGTCAGAGTGGCAATGCTTACTTCAAAATGTTACATGCTTATGCAATTAATGATTTTCCTTACATTTTCTGGCCACAGAAAAATAAAGGAGTATCCAATTTAATTTGCTACATTAGTATTTGTTTACTAACATTCTTGAAAAGTTGTGAAAGTATTAATGCGTGCAAGAACTTGGTGAGGAAAGTACATTCAGAATTTTACAAAGTTATTAGGTACCAGGTCCCCTTCTGTATGTGCGTGCCAGGTACTGCACTTACAAAACTGGAACCTGATTGCTGACTGCTTGGAACAGCAGCTGTCACTTACCACTTCTGTTTGGCAGCACAGGGCAAACCTCTCCAAGCAACCACAAGTGGAAGAAAGTAAAACATAACTGAGAGGCCCTCATTCAAGAAAAGATAAGGCCTCATCATAACTTACACTGCATCTACATGTTCTTGGCATGCACAGCTTTACAAAGAAGAGATACGCTCCTTTCCCCAAATGATGTGGGGTTTAAAAATGCTAAAATTAATCAACTGATATTAACTGAGAGCTCTAGGACCTCTGTCAATTACAACACATTACAAATGTTCATGAACCACAGCAAACCTACCTGCTGTTTGATGTGTTTGAACACTATCTACCTGAGGCAAAAGAGTCCCCTTATCTTCAAAGGCTAGAATTGGATTCAAAGGAATTTCGGGACTATTGCTTCCATCATTGTTCATGGCATCCAGCCGGGATGGTTTAGAACCAATAGGCAGGTTTATGATCTCTTCAAAGTTATCATTCTGCATAGACATTCCATTGTCATTTGTGTTTTTCTCTGGATTGAGATTGCTGAAAGAAAAACATAGTTATTTCCTCACACACTTAATCTAGAACAGAAATTTAGTCCTCCTCAAAGCAATATTACAAATGGAAGAAAAGTCTGCATCAATCCCGAGCGTTATTTTTGCCAGTAAAAACAAAACTATGCTTCTACCACAGTAGATAAACTATTTTTGCAGTTAAGTACTAGGTATGCCTTCCCTCACACAGGGTAGTAGTTACATTTGGCTACATGACACCCAGCTACAGTGCGCTGTATGTCTGAGAAGTGCCTGCAATTGGAAGCAGTAAGGAATCCCCTGCAGCACCACCACTGCTATCTGGAGCCACCCACCTAATGCAATTTACAGCCTCTAACATATTTTTTCAGATTTCATAACCTTTTTAGTACCCTTCCTCTTATTACAAATCAATGTAATTGCCCTTAGATAAGATCATTGTAATTTTTATTACTTCTTGGATCACCTCCTGCCACCAGTTAGGGAGCAGTGTCTTCTATGTGCCACTTATCCAAAGACTCCATTACCCATGTAGTGCTCTTTTCAGTCCCTCCTCCCCTACAAGTCCTTAGGGCTTATTTCCAAGGCACCAACCAGCTCCACACTCCTCTCAGTGATCAGGCCCAAGCCAAAAGAACCCTCTCCCAGCACCCCTCATTGTCAATCTGCACTTTTGGTTTCCATCTCCCAGTTGACAGAGATGCCTTATGAGTAAGATCTTGTACATCTCCCCTAGTCAAGAGCAGCACAAGCACACACTCTGCAATTATACATACTCTCCTGAGACAATACATGCTCGTGTCTCACAGTCTTGTTCCTCCCCTCCCAAACCTTATATTAGGTGCTGTGTTGTCAAATCCTTCTGACTCTGGAGATAGCATGTGCTATCTTGCCCGAGGGGAGATACTAAGGTGCTCCTCTAGTGAACAGGATGACAGTAATGGGACCATAAGCTCCTCGAGAAAGAGCAAGTACTCAAATGACACTCAAAAACCTTGTTATCTTTCACAAGTGCTTCTTAAGGCCCCCATCAGTTAGATCCTGACAATCCTGGGTACCTATTCCCTATTCAAACCACATCACAACTGTTCAGGCTGTTTGGAACTGTCTCATCCACAAAGGCTCAGATGCAATTTTCCTAGATTGAAACTAGGCTATAAATTTCCTCAGGCCATTTCTCAGCAAGTGGTTTGGTTTCACAGGCTAATTTTGTCCTGACAGTACATTTACTAGTCTGAAAAAAACCATCTGCTTGTAATTGGCATATAGTATATTTTCATGTCTTTGGGTGTCCAACTCTGCACAAACAATTAAAGAATTGTTTTACAGTACTTCCCAAGAGACAGAAAATGATTATTGGTCTTTTGAAAATGGCAATGCTTTATCCAGAGCCCAGATTTCCTGTGAGAACCACATGCTTGTTTTCATATCAAGCCCTTCCCAGATTTTCAAACCATCACTGGTTCTTTTTCAGAAAGGCACTCCCCTTTTTTCATCTGTGGATATGCTGAGCAAATTTCAAAGTGAAAAATATGTTTCACTGCACCGAGTTTGGGAGCAGACACAGAAACCCTAATGGCTGCCTGGGAGAGGTCATAAGTCACACCACCCTTTGGTGCCAGAGACCCACATCTGTAAGATGAGGAGCAGAATCTGTGACATGCTTTAGGACTGTTAAACCCTGCTCTGTACTGTGTAGTTATAAGGCATATTCACTATATGTTACTCCCATTTACTGCCAATAACCATACCACAGCTAGGATAACATGCCAAGTTTGATGAATGGGGTAAGAAAGAGGTGTGAAGAGAGCAACTTCTCGTCCATATAAATTAAAAAACACAGTAGTTCAACAAGTATTAGTGGAATGAAGAAGCCTTTTGCTTCTGCAAATCTAATTTTTCTACCCAATTGATCAGCTGACAATGGATAAATAGTTCTTCATATTTATTTGTCATTGCACTGCCAGTATTACACATTGAGTTAGATCAGGACTCATTCAGACGTGAACAATGCCCTCTGAGACGGAGGAGATTCTACAATCACAAAGTGGGTACAGAAGAGGAAATCAAGACTACAAATCTTCCAAATTTTATGCTATAAAATCATCTAGATTCTCTGTTGCTTGCTCCACCAAATTAGAGAAGCACATTTAGATGAAACAAAGGGAAAATGGAATAGTGGAATTAATTTCCACTGGACATCTTAGAGGCCACAAGCTCAAAAGGAGATTAGATAAATTCCTAGGGGATTGGTATACCCTCCAGCTTCTATTAATTAGCAGCTTAGGGACTACTTGAGCCTATGGTTGTATTTGGACCACAATGCTTAGTAACCCTTCATTGTCCAGAGGATCTCCTGGTAATTACCTTTATTCTCCCTCTACACTATGCTACAGGCCATTAAAGAAAAGAATACCCTCCCCCCCGAAAAAAAAGCATTTTTGACCTGCTACAGCTGTTCTTACCATCTTACGTTACATTCTTACTGATATCTCAGTTGTCCAATGCAACACCAGAGATATCCTTTTCAGACATACAGTATTGCAGAAAGAACTGGATAATTCTGGTATTCTAACACATTCCATAAGTGTGCTTGTAGCATACTTGTTCAGAGTGCATTTCCAAACATAACAGTCTTGCAAGCCTCTGAAGGACATCTCCAAGGTAGCTGAAAAACATCTCTGCAGCTTCACACTTTGACCTGAACACATCAGTATTAACAAGATAGACTGGAGGATGTTGAGAAAAGAGCAGCTAGTTTAATTAAAGGAACTGGAACATCCAAAAAATTAAATATTACTCAAAATTACATCTGATGTAGATAATTTTAGTCAAAGTTCTGTGTAGACATAGCCTGTAATTAAAGAATTTGAAGAGAAAAAGAAAGAAAGAAAAGAAAGAAGGCCAGAATTCAGTATATATGTTTCCCATAATTCATCAGAAATCAACAACGAATAAGAAAAAATAAAATAGTAATTTGCAGGCCTTTGAAAAGTATTTCCACAGCTGCCACTTCTGATCTGAAAGACAATGTCAGTCTTTATTGACAGGATTTTTGCAGAGAAGTCACAGATAGACGTTAACAGCAAAATGGACCCCATAGTTTTTGGATGACTTAAATAAATGGTGCTTATTTTTCATCCACAGAGACAACAGCACTGAAACCAGCCAGCAATGAGGAGCTTTCTTCTCCAGGACAAGACATTAAGGCAATCACCCAGACCAACTGTAAATTTCTAAAAACTGGTTACCTAACCTACCCAGAGCCAGCACCCTGCATACAGGATGGAGACACAGATGAACTGCATAGGTGAACTGCACTCACTGAGGCGTTCTGCATTGCATTGCAAGTGTTTATAGAACATGGCACAGAAAAAAAGGCATTACAGAATAAGTATCATAAGGAAAATACTGTCAACATAAATCACTGTACTGAAATAACTTTCTAAGAAGACAAAATCTAGCAGACAAAATCTAACTCAGGCAAAGAATTAGAAAATGGAGTACAAGCAAAATTCTGCAAGTGGGCTATGGATTAGGCAGCTGTAGGGTTATACCACTCAAATGCCTTCATTTAAGTTCAATTGTGAGCCTTCTCACCACACACTTACAGGTTAGATTTAAAGTCACTACTTGCCCCCCTTTCCCAATAATATTCACTATTCTTCATTAGCATTCCATCATTAAATTGTTTAACCAAATTTACTTGTGGAGAAGACACTCAGAGCGAGCATAGGCAGCAAAATCAGAACCCTTGCAGCACCACTCAAAGCTACTGTACCACAAAAATCATGTTCATGTTCAGACACTCATTATAACTCAGAAAACTATTGAAAAAGAAACTGTGTTTATGAACCCAGAATTTATGTAAGATCTGTTTGAAAACCTTGAGTGCTAGCATAGTAAAACAGCTCAATTCACAAGCAAATGTATTTGTTTTCTTCTTTCACAATACTAAGTGAAAAAACTTTAAACCTACCAAAAATCGATTAACGTTCATTTGTTTAAAACACAAGAGTAGGAATACCAATAAAAATTTGGACAAACTATTAGCTGGGATAGATGATTGCACCAATCTACCTTCCGCAATAAATATCTATCAGTAAAACTAATAATTGTTGACAACAGAAAAACAGTAAATAAGGCTGCAGATCACAGCATTTTTCATTAGGGTTTATGAAGATCAATTGCCCTGGAAAGCTAATGATGTTCCAGCAAAATAAGATCGGTATTGCTGATCAAAAATAGCCACAGAGCATAATGAAATATTGAAATCTATTGTCTTCCCTCAGTGAGAATTTTTTTAAGTCTTCCTCAGTTGCTTTGCACTGCTGACCACAGAAGCAAACGTTATTTCCAACTGAATCCCAGCCACAGAGCTGAAACAGGATGGGGAGGAAAAGGGATGAAGGCTCAGTACACAGTCAGGCAACTTCCTATTACGCTCCAGAGCAATGTTCCTTATCTTCACATAAACCTCTAGTAGCTTTCCAAGTCATCCTTCTTCAGCACTACCAGTGCAAGGGACAGAGCATCTGCATTGTCTGGGGAGTGAACCAACTACAGATATTCTGACCTCAACTACAGCTGCCAGCCCTGTTCAAACAAGATGCCACCTTAGAAAGACCTTCTCCTTTGCTTCCTTCTCTTGCCCATACAAGTGCATACCAAAAGTCCCCCCAGCTAACACCTTTTTAAGTTCTGGTTAGAAATCTCTTCTATCTTGTCGTTAAAACACGATGAAGTCTTTTTCAGACCAAAGTCAAATCTTGCCTGGGGCTGGAGTGAGGTGCTCACAACAAGAGACAATCTCCACCCACTGCTCCTGTGCATGTGCTACCATGTCAGGTATATCTGGATGCCAGAAAACCACAGTACACAAGACACAGCAGTGGTGTTGGCACCTGTGGCTTTTACCATGTGATAAAATCTATGGGACACTACCAAGTGCTTCAGGCTTTGCCTTCCCAGTCACTGTGGATGTACCTCTGAAGCAGAGAGTCCCTCCACATCCCAACCTGGCACGCCAGTTTTCCCTTCCACAGTCTTACATGCACTTCCTACTTTTGTTCTTCAATCTCATTTACTCATTCTTTACTGTGGGCATTCTGAGGTTGCTTCCACACAGATTTTAATGCTACAGGACAGCACTCATTAGTGTGGCACATTTTGTATTTCAAACATCAATGTACATGTAAGGCTTGGAGTGATTAACATTTAAGAACTGCCCAAGACAATTATGAGGCAGCTCTGTGCAGCTCATTCAATGCATCTCAGTGCTCAGTGTCACTGACAGAACTTCTCTCAGCAGGAGCATCCTTGTCAGCATGACAGCAGGCTAAGATCCCCCAGGCATATGGAGGGATCGAGAGAGGGCAAATTCCTCCTTCAATTAGTGCCAATCACACCCTGAAGCACACTGTCCATTACAGACTGCATGATGGCTTCCCACATTCGAGTTTTTCTACACATATTATGCATATCCTGCATAAAACATGAAAGGGCTATGGGATTATTTGGCTTTCTGCATTACTAAAATTAGTAATTTTAGTAATGACATGAACTGACAGCTCATGCTTATTTAACAGATGTCACTTGGTTCAACACTGAGGTTTCAAGCATTTCAACAATTTCTCAAGGTCTGAGTGACTTGCTTCATGGCTACAGAGAGATCCCAGTGTTAAATATCTGCCTCCCCAAATTGTCCTTATAGAGAACAAAGGTGTTTTTTTTCAAATGCATAACCAAAGTGACTAGTTCCATATCTCACACGAGGGACATGTCTACAACAGAACTTGCTGATACTTCAAGCAGTTCAGAAATCAAAACATCCAGGCTCAAGGCACAGTGTTCATTATTCTAATAAAAAATCAGCAAATCCAGAGTGGGTTTTATGAAGCTTAATTCATGAAAAGGAACAGAAAAAATTTGCCCTTTCTATTAAGTGTCAATCAATGTAATAATTGCTGGCAAACACATATTGTCCCAAACACTGCAAAGAACATGCTGTATTTTTTATAGAATTCTTCCCTATTAGTTGGTGAAAATGGGTTACTGCTAAGGGAAAGATGATAAAGTTCTTTTCTGAACACAGGAAAAAATAATAAACAGGAAACAAGGTAGATTGAACTCTTACTTAGTTCATGAACACATGAAACTGAATATTATTTATTACTCCAGTAACTCTCATCTGCTAAACACCCCCACCTCTGACACTTGTCAATTGTTCTTACCTGTCCACATTTACGGGGGGTTGGTGTGAAACAATCACATGTGTGCAGGTGCTGGGTGTCCCGTTGTGCGGAGATTCTGTTGCATGCGGAAGCTGAGGTCCTGCTGCAGGTTCCAAGGGAGATGCAGGACTGGCTGTGACAGGAGAGAGAAAACATGTTCTCCTAAATACAAGCAAAAGCATCTACCTGCAGATTAGGGTAAAAAATTTTCTACAAAAGCCAGCACAGCCAAGGCAAGCTACAATTTTAAAAAATACGGCTCCCACACCCCTCCCTCCCTCCCTCTCTCCCCTCCCATCTCTTTTGTGGAGTTTTTGGGCACACAAGCCCTGTTTCAGGTCCAAAGTAAATGTCACAGATTTCAAAGCTGTATCTTTGCAAACAAGAATAAACATTTTACAATGATACGAATAATTCCAACACATAAGCCAGTTGTCAAAATAGGCTGTTATCTGATAGAATACTATGTTAGTGCTTTCTAAGTAGCAATAGAGAATGGAATAGGAGAACACTGGGACATCACCAATTCCATACACTGGTATTTCTTGGTTCCAGTAACCCAGAAGGAAATCAAGAGGGAAAAAATCTTCATTGAGAAGGATACTTCTTTCAACAAGTACCAAATCACTACCATAAAACATTGCAGAGAGCAACATAAAATTAGCCTATCCTTGTCCCTCATGCTGAGATCATGTGATAGATGTTACTGGCCTGCCTTTCGGTTTTCTTTTAAAGTACAACTACAGCCTTCTGTATTGTTTTTACAGTCACACTAATTCACATATAGGTCAGTAAAAGGAAGCAACTGCACCATGCAAGCATCTGTTACAGTAATTGCAAAGACAATTCAGTATTCACAGGCTTGGACACATTTATCTCCATTACCCAAACAGAGGTCTGCTAGAGTGCAATATGGAAACTCAGGTGGCCAGAATACGTCCATTAATCCATATGTTCAGCTCACTGTCATATCTAGATAACGCAAAGCCAAACAGCAGAGCAGCCCTGAGGGTGAGGGCAGTTTTGTTTTTATTCAGTCATTCAAGGATTCCAGCCTTCCCTTGGGCCTGGGGAAATCAAGATCCAAAGTCTCCTCTGCCTTAGGAAACTGACTACTTGTCTTCTATCTCTAGAGGAAAAGCACTAGCCAAAGCTTATAGAGCCATTTATAGGAATTATTTAAACCGTAATTCAACAGTGCCCGCAGACAAAGATGGCATCCCAGATGTGTTCTGTATCAGTTGCTCACAAACTTTTTTCACCAAGATAATATGCAAACAAAAAACTTCTAAACACATGTCATCTGCATCAAAATGTTTCCTGACAGTGCTAACTGTAGTGTTCACTTTAAACATCAACACAAAAGTCATCCATCAGCCAGCACTGCTGCCTTCCCTGTTACTCAGCTCAAATGCAAAGGAGAAAAAGATAAAAGTCATTTAATATGTTATGCTACAATAGGGTAAACTATTTCATAGCTTGACTTCAGTATCTTTCAAAAGTGCTAATTAACACTTGGTGATTGCTGGATATAAGCTATGTTTTATTTTTCTTTCTTAAGTATTAAAGTCTCATATAGAAGTTTACCTAAAACGAAATAAAAAGATAGAGGGAATGGAAGAGAATGACATAGAGACTAAGTGTTTCTAGTAGTTCAATTTTGTCCAAAAAAAGAAATAAAGACCAAAGGAATAAGGCAGCGAGTATGAAAGAAAGAAGTCACAGAGAGATGTTTAGAATAATTAACAGTTTGTTTTGATGAAATAATCTTTTAAGAAAATGGAGTAAATCTGCAACAACCACATCTGAAATAATATTAAAAAAGAAACTGTAGAATCCGTTTCTTTTGCGATCAAATCACAAAATAATTTGTTTCTTTTCACTTTATAAATAATTAAACTCATTAAGCCACTTCCTCTTGTTAAACACCAATGTGACGAAGTTGCTAAAACACTGGACTCATTTAGTAATGGCTAACTACCCATACAGAAAGGCTAAATAAATAATGTCTACTAAGATTTCACTTATACAACTCTCATGGTTTTCTTTACTGCAATTAGTGTGTCAAGTTTCAGAACTGTATCTCAAGTCATTGTGCTTAGTAGGCATTTATTCACCTGTTGTGCTCAAGGCAGAGTTAAGCACAATACCTGCTTCTCCAGTAATATTTGTCTTTGATATATGTCCATTTTGCTGGTCATTGGGTTTCTACAAAGGAAGCACAGTTTTGTAAGTTAAAAATGGCACTAGGGAAAAGACATGAAATATATTCAATATGTACACGTTAAGTAGCAGCACTGACCTTATCTACAGCTTCTACACGCCTAGTTCTCTTCATGATCTCTTCAAGCCTCTACAATGAAACGTAAAGGGGTAAAATAAGGTTTGCTGGCATTATTTGAATATATCTCTCCCAAAACATAACTGCTTGTCATCTATCAGCTGTATCTGTTTATTGCAAAAAGCTGAATTATTTATTACTGCTGGCAATAATCCCTTCACTGTCACATCAAGCCAATGAGGACTGCAGCCTTTCTGAGAGCACATTTATATCATGGATAACTTTCTATTACTGAGATGGAAGCAGACTGCTAAGGCAAAACCAATTACAGTTTCTCTGCAAGTACTGAGTTACCTTCTTCCTTTCCAAGCGCTCTTGCTCTTCTCTTTGGAAATGCTTTTCACGTTCTAATCGAATCCGCTCTGCCTCTTCCCGTAGGCGAGCTTCCTCTTCTTTCTACATTGATGGTAAAAGAAAAAGAAGGAATAATTTACTATTTAAGGACAGTCTTACACTGTCTGCTTAACTATGCATATCTACAAGATCCTGAAAAGACACTCTTGGGGTTTACAAGCCACCAAAAATCTTTTCAGACTGAATTGCACATTTCTTGTCAATCTCCATGTTTTGCATAGCATCAAAAGAATGTAACTAAACAACAGACATCATATTTGGTTCTGTGCCTGTTCTATAGCACACCAGATGACAAATAAGGAATAAATTTCCTAGCCTTCAGCATTAAAACAGCAGCCAGGAAAGCATTAAAGAGACTGATGTTTTGAGTGGTTTTTGAGAGTAAAACAAAAGTAGTAGAATGTTTTGTTTGGCCAACAGAGTAATTCTTTTACAAGACCAAGGACAAGCACAAACTTTCCATTTCTGTTTTTTAATGAAATGCAAAACTTGTCTGGAATACTTTGCTCCCTGACAGTGACAGTGTTGTATGATAGAACTACTACAGTGGATCATTTGTTACAGCTATAATATCCAAAAAAGCCTTGGCCATGCACTATCTCTGAGTGCTAAACTGAGCTAAACCTCAGGTTAATATTTCAAAGAAAGTAGTACACATCTTCTGAAAGAGAAGAATGCAGTTTCTAAGCCATATTCACTAACACAATCATTTAAACATTTATTATCGGAAGCATACATTTATATACCAGGAGAAAATCTTGTGTCTATGAGGCAAATTTAAGTGCTAGATGTTGGAGCAACAAAGCACACACAAGAAGTAAGAGCACATGCAAGAAGAGAAGAATCCTATCTAGAATGCTTAACGCAGCCTCTCCTAAAGTCAGGAAACCAACATTATGCCCATTCAAAAATGAAAGCACTCGAAAAACTTATTTTTACTTTATTTACTCTTTTTTACGTCTTTTGAGTAGCTGCTCTGATTTCAGGAGGACTGCACCAGGTAAAGGTTCTGCTTGGGTTTACTGAAGTTATCAAAACCTACCTCTTCCCACTAGCCCCACACAAAAGTAATATTTGCAAAGGATTAGAACTCAGTAGTACTATGTCTCCGACACAGTGAACTCTTTGCATCTAGACTTTCTGTAAGTGCTAGGACAAAGAATTCTCTGGTGTAAGACCATTCATCAAAATTCCCCAATACAACTCTATTGATTTTTTTTCATAATGAATCAGGAATAGGAAAGGATTTGTTCTAAATACAATCTAAGGGGAGCAGAAAAAAACCAAACCAAAACTCAACTCCCTAACACATGTTTTTGTCAAGTAGAAATATCTTTACTCTTTGAACTACGCTATGGAATGAACGCTGCCTGGACACTATTCACTTTATAGATGGCATTTAAATTTTAGATATTGCTCTAATCTAGGTGGTGTGTAAGAAGTGCTGCTTCATCCAATTCTGTGCCAATCAGACTGGCATAGAAATTCCAAGAGGGGAGCATACTTGTTTCTGAATGCGCTCCATCTCTTCTTTCTCCTTCTGTTCTCTCTCTTCTGCCTGGCGGCGCAGCCGTTCTTCCCTTTCCCGCTCCTCCTCTGCATCCTTCCTTTTTTTTTCTGCTTCTTGTCTGCGAGCTTCTTCCTCTTCTCGGCGAGCTCTTTCTTCAGCTATCCTCTGTGACAGCTCCTCCTTCTTTTGTCTGAAATCATTAAATAAGCATAAGAAAAAAAAAGTAATAAAAGGAGGGAGGAAACCCAAACCACCAGATTCCTAATCCAACCCTACAGAACAACTGGATATGGGATGCACTGCTGTCTCATTCCTAAGTTGTCTGTTCTCCTTCCTGTAGAGGCCAAACATGAAACCCTATGGAATATAAAAAACTCTGCAAGGTAATACCAATACTTCTCCAGCACATGTGTGCCAATCTATGACTCACATACATTCTGAGTCAGAAATAGTATCATTGACTAATACATTTTGCATAACACTTCTTTTTGCAATTTCATATAATCATATTTTTAAACAGTACGTATTTTTGGCACCCATCTTATCTCATGGCAATGGTTCCTTAATTTAAAAGAAGTATCTAATTCTTCTGATTTTTGGTTATGTCCCAATACAACCTAATGGCTTTTCATCCTTGTATTATGGGAGTAACTTTTCCCCTTCGCTTTTGATGTTACTCTAATTATTTAAGACTTTTTAGCCTATCGTATCCCCGCTCAGAAGTAGAGGGTAGATGGTCTTCCCAGCTGAAGAATCCTCACCTGTTCGGTAGATTTTCATATGGGAGCTGTTTTGCACTTGTGACCTTCCTTGATGTCTGTCTGCACTTATTTTCCTAGTTTTACTGATTTTACTATCTCAAAAAATATAAAACTCACATTCAAAATGTAGATTAATATTGAATAGTTCAGGATGACATTTTCATTTTATTCTAATTTTCTAGTACCTTGTAACAGTTCATTTACTTTGTTGACCATGACTCACCTGATATTTTCATACACTGAAGTCCAAACAAGATCTCTTCCCTCAGAATAATTTGCCCACAGGTCACCAACACAGGAGTTAAGTTAGGATTATTTCCTATTCACATTCCTTTATTCTTACCAGTACAGCAATTCAGCTTCCATTTTGTATCTCAGCGATAGAAGGTATGTCAGAACCTCTTCACAACTGCCTTATCTCACTGAAGATTCACAATATTAACTCACAACAGCATTACCTCACTGGCCTCAAGTCCTTTCAAATTCGTTTATGAAGGCGCTGCACAGACACTGGAAACTCCTTTCACTGTGAAAGCTGATTATTCTTTAATTTTTATTTTTGATCTTTCAGTCTTAGTATTTATTCACCATGTTACTCTTATGCCACAGCAGCTTTTTTCTTTAAAACTCTTTTTGAGAGGGTCAGTATTGTGAGCCTATTGGAAAGCCAGCCTATTTTAACTGCTCAGCCTTGTTCCTATTAGCAAAGTTGTTCAAGAAGTCCAACAAATTCCAGAGGCATGGCATCCCTCTAAAAAAGCCTCAACTTGTGCTGTAGCCCTCCCACTCAACTTGTGCTGTAGCCACAGTTGTAAGTATCCAGATGGGCTACTCATTTGCTAGTATAAGGTGAGATGCAACAATTACCCTCCAAAACTGGTGCGGGGGTGTCTTTAACTGAGAAAACAGAGAGGTTTAAGTCACAATGGTTGGACACTTAAAACACTACCTGTGGTACAGACCTTACAATTTAAAGTAAGAGATATTGCGCCAATCACAAAGTTGGAAACAGCTGTACAGAGTTCTCTAGCTGGAACAAATAAGTACAGCTTTGTTAAACTCTGAGGAAACAATATAACAGCAGAATATATACAGGAAGCTGCTAAAAATGTATCTTCTCCACTGGATAGGTCTAGAATTACCTTTCAAGCTCTTCTCTCTCTCTCCTTTCTTGCTCCTCTCGTTCCCGCTGCTCACGGGCAAGGCGCCTCTTCTCAGTCAGCAGCCTGGTTGCTTCTTCAGGGTCAGTTGTACCTGCAGAGGTCTTGGGGGGTGCTGGGGGTGGAGCAAGAGCTGGTGGAGCAGGAGGTAGGGACAGGCTGGCTGCTGAAACAGATGGGGGGAAAAAACTAGTATGTACAGACCCAGTAGCCAAGACGTTACTCTCTTGAAAGGAACAGAAAGTATTTTCAAAATATTTTCAAGCTTATGTAGTTTTATAAATGATCCAGAGAAGGAAGCCATTTCTAGGTGCTAGAGGTTCATATACCTTAAGGGAAGTTTGCTTTTGCAGGATATGTGAAAGCAGCTGCAGTTGAAAAGGTAAGTCAACTTTTCTGTCAGAACAAATGTTGACAAGTGCTCAACAGGAGTTGTACTGACTCAGCAAGTCCCTACCATCACATTTCCTAAGTTTTCCCAATTCTATCTGGAGAGCAGAAATGAAACATTGTGAAATTGTATTTTCTTCTGTCTGAGAATCTACATTGAAAGAGCAGAGCTAGACTTTTTGGTAACAGGCCAGTCACTTGGGGTGACTTGGTGATCCGGACTAAGGGTAGGGCACCAGCTATCATCAATTTTGCAGCTGCTTCAACCTGAGGCAACTCATGGGATCAGAGCACAGCATCTTACTGAATTTTGCTACTATTGGTGAACTATGGCTTGTGTTCAAATCTTAATAGTGCCTTCATTTCAATTCTTTATTCAGGGCCAGCTTTGTCCACTTGGCAGAGATGATGTTACAGGTTTTTTTCAAGTAAAAGATTAGTTCACATTTCTGTAAGTTTGCCTGGCATTCTCTAGCTCAGGTACAGAGTACCTCAACCACACCTTTTCTCTAGGTACTAGGGACCATTACCAACACATAAGCTATCCCGAGGAAGCATTCCCATGTTAATCACATCTGGTAATGCAGACAAGCATGGATAGGGAAGACTTTGAACTGTCAATGGAATCAGATTCTGATCCTAGGAATATGCATGTAAAGTAAGTCATAAGGAACAGCTAGGAGATGGTTTTAAATCTACATATCTAACCACCCACTGGGATGTGACAGGAGTTTCCTCACCTCATTAACAACTTCCAAAGAGAGGTTTCCTCCCTGATCCCCCCCCAATACCTTGTCATGTATACAAACATAAATTCAACTGCTTTCTGTGCTGAATTCACATCTGCTGACCTCTCTGCTCTGTTATCAACTAAAAACTACACAGGTCTTTCTAAAACTGCTTTAGGGCTTTCACCTTGAATTCAAATGTAACTTAAATTTTAAATTAGTACATCAGTAATTTAAAGAGTGCCAGGGCCTGTTCTCTACCCCTGAGGTGAGCTGGCACAGTTTAGCACTAGAGCAATAGAGCACTATTCTCTCATTACCAAAACAGGTATTCAGTCCAACCCCACAGAACAGGCTGGACCTCAGCTAACCTCCAAGATGTAGCTGGGAACTCAGAAAAGTCTGAGATGTTCAAATATAAAAAGGCAAGTAATTTGATCACACTAAATTGTGAGAGCCCTTTAGAGCCATGCTCTTAGTAGCCTTGGGGACAGAAGGTAAGAAAATGAGAGGCTGCAATTACAGCCTGGATCAGAAACATACCAGAGAGCCTTTGTAATTGTTAAACAGTATAAATGACAGAGTTCCTACATCTCAGCTCTTTTTAATTTACTAACATGGGCCAAGGCAGGGCCATCTCTTTGAAGGGAGCACAGCTTTGTGCTGCTTGGGGTTCATTTCTTGCTGCAGGCGCTGAAGTTGACAGCATAACAAGTAGCTTGTTTAATGCACACCTGCCCTGCTTTCAGAAAAGGTAACACCCAAAAGACCTTTAAAACTTCATTGGTGTTAGTAAAGTTGTGTGAGATTTGCCTGCAAAAGCCTGAACAACTTCGTTGGCAATCGCTACCTGCTGACCTCCTGGCTCCTCCAGCAGGTAGCTGAGCCAGACCAGTTAAAGGCCAGTGCTATTAATTGTAAGAAATGAGCTATATTCACTTGCAACACAGTCCCAGGAGAATCAGCAACATTCCTCTAAGCTCCAAATGCCGTACTTGCACATCTCTAGATTCTTGAATGCAACCAGTGACTAAGTTTTAGCAGCTGGGGCCTCCATCTGCATCACAAAGCCTGTCCTCTAACCTCACATGTAAAATGCTTTTCCTGATGTCTCTGTCTTTGGTTCCAACCACCACCTCCTTTGGCTTTGGGAAAAGACATTCAATTTGAAGTGCTGCTCGCCACTTTGACTGTATCCTTTTCTTTCACTCGTCTCCACTTCGTATTCTTTTTTTGTATTCTTTGCTGTGAATACAGACTATTTCACTTTTGAATACCTTTATCACGCATAACCTGTTTCAATACTAAGAGACTTCATCACAAATTCAAATACTGACTGACTCTGCAAAGAAGTGAAGCCTCTTCCTCCTGAACTAAACTGTCAAACAAGCATGATGATGTTTCTCTGGTCTGCACCTTGTACTGGGGAACTACAACTTGTAAACACTTGCAAAGTTATCCCAGTGGCATCCCTGAAATAATTTTAAAAGGAAATTTTCTCCTTAAAAGGAAGCAGGCAATAGATTATCAGAAGAGCAGTAAAAACCCATGCTAACATGGCAATTATATCCTCCCTTACATGCCCACAGCCAAGAGATATATTCATTTATTATTGTAAATTTCTAGCTTTTCGTGGGGTTCCACCTTGTGTGGTAGGACCTGGGTATCAGACAGGAACTACTGTAACAGAACTTATTAGAACATAAGAAATGTTCTCATTCACATGAGGCTGTCTCACGGAACTAGACCCAACTACACTTCTTACAATTAAATGCAGGATTACTAATGCTTAAAACTGTTGTCTGAAGGACAATCACAGGGGATTCTACAAATTTTAAGTTCAAAATCCTAAGTAACCCAGCTTGTGTATCCCGGTGGTCACAACGGACTTTCTATCCCATCTGCGAAAAACAGCTTATGCCATATTTACAATGGACTGAAATGTCTGCCACAACAAACCTATATTTTTTCATTCTCAAATTTATCTTTTGCCCTTTCTATACTTTATGATCATTATTTTATTTTTTGTGTACATCCTTTTCTTCCCTGCTGCTCTTCAGGGTTCGTGGGGTTTTGTGTGGGCTTTTGGTTTGTTTGTTTGTTTGCTTCCCCTGAAAAATTCTGCCTATTCCTCTTTACTCCTCTCCTTGGTTCTTTGCATTCCACTTTATTGTGCTAATCTCTCCCATGATATGATCCTCTTGCAATAGTACAGATAAGTTAACAGTGTTAGCAGCATAACTGTACTGAGTGTCCAGCAGAGCTGGACATTCTCACTGCTCACACTACCTTATGTGGTGGATTCCTGTACCATTAGTATTCAGATCATTATTATTCTACTTCAACTGTTTGTAAAGAAGCTGTGTTATGATATAGGGGACAAAATTCCAGTCCAAAAGGGCAGAAAGAGGCCTGTGAAGTCACACTGTGTGAGGTACCTCTGCATGTTGTTTTGACTTAGAAGCAGGAGGGCTTCAACCTGTTTACAATTTCCTCATAGCATACATGTGCAGGAGTGTTCTGAATAATTTAAATTAACATTTGACAGAAAACTACCGAAAGCTACATCATTGCAGAGAAAGGGAGGGAAGAACATGAGAGACTCTAACACATTCCTTAACTTAAAGGAAGATCCCTCCTTACCTTGAGTGGGCTCTGCCTGGACAGTGAGCTGTTCCTGACTTGAAGATTCTCCAGCACCTCCTGAAGTTCCTTTACTTTCTTCTGTCCTTTCCTCATTGGCCTTTCCAGCCTCTTTTTCTGGTCTTTTCTTCTCACCCTCTGGCTTGACCTCTTTTTTGACTGGCCGGATGTTGCCAGGAGAAGGAGGACGTGTCTGAGCAGAGGAAATTTTGGAGGAACCAGGTGGGGAAGTAATCTGCTTGGGTGTGCCAGGCAAAAAAGGCAAAGATTTTGACGCACGCCTGTGTAATCAAAGAGTGACAATGTTGGTTTCCACCCACATATCACTTCTACAACCACAGTAGCTAAAAATAAAACCATCTCTCTGTTTCTCTATCAAGCAGGACTGCAGGCACAACTGATTTAGTTTCATGCAAAATGCCTCTCTTTGCAGCTCCCCATATCTGTGAGCACTGAGCTCAGCTAGGAGGGAAGAAATCACGTTTTCCTCCCCACTTCCCCTTCCTCAGAGAAGCGGTAATATTTCTTTAAAAGTAGGACTGTCTTTCTTTTTTGCAGAGAGAAAACATCTACATAACCAAATAAGTTTGCACTGTTTCATATTTAATTAATAGAACAATCAGAGCTGCCTATAGCACATCTCCAGCTAAGCGTGTACTTGACTTACCAAACTGGAGAGGGAGCTGGTGATCTAGCTTTGGGGTTGGAAGTAAAATGACCTCCTTTAAAGTTGGCTGAGAAGCTGGATGACAAATAGTCTCTCTCCTTTTCTTTTTTGTCAGTCTATAGCTCAGCAAACAAAAAGACAAAGTCAAGCCAGAGTTCACACAGCTAAAGAAAGCAAAGCAAGCTCAGTTAAGAATGAGGAGTTGGGGGCTGATGAAAAGCAGTGCTGAGTTAGTAGTTTCTACAGCTTGTTTAACAAGTTCATTAATATAGGTCCTGTAACCTGACACCAACTTTGTCAGTAAATACACAGTTGACAGCAAGAACCTTTCTTAATCATTCTCTACTATCCCAAGATGTAACGGGCTAATTTGCAGAGGCTTACTTTTACATCTTTGATGATTGCCACACAGCACCTTCCACTACTTCCCATATATCCAGGATTTTCTTGGAAGAAAGAGCAAAACGAGCCTCTACCCTCGGCTCATACTTAGTCACAGTCTTCCCATATAGCACAAGTTTTTGTGTTCATGCTCACATGTGAATGGCACAGATGTCCTCAAAGATCTCAAATGTGGTACAAGAGTTATCCTATTCTTTTTTTCTTGGATGATTTCACCATTAGTACATGGTACTAATCACATGGTACTGATTTCCTTTTTCCTTCTTTATTTTTAAAAAATAAAATCCTAAGTTGAGAAACATTTCTGTTACAGCTCTGGTCTGTAATAACAGAAGAAGGAATATATCAGAACTTAGGCATTTATGTACTTACCCTATTTAGGTATAAATGAAAAAAATTATGGTTCTGAAATAATGAGCTCAGACTCTGGGAGTTGAAGAATGGGAATACTGGAGAGTACGCTCAGCTGCCACTCAACCAATATGATGCAGAGGCTGCTACTCGCCACCTCAGCTGGGGCTTAAACACAACCCCTGCAGAAAGTGTATCATGATACTCTAGAGCCTCACTAGCTGAGAGCTCTGCAATGCTCGTTCCCTGAACTGAAAACCAGGTTAACACTGGAAAAGAAAGGCTGAAAACAACTTAATGAACACATGATGCGCTGAGTTATCAAAGCATACACAACCAGAATAAATACATTACAGTGAAAAAGAATTTTGGCTTGCTAGCAAGAACTCTCTATTGGATCTACTTTATTAGTACTGAAAGCAGACCATCAGAAAATTTTTCTTAATATCAATAAAGTAAAAAGCTGAATTCCTACAGAAGTTCACAGAAGAATAAAAGATTCTCCACACCATACAGGCTACTGAAAACAGCTCTTAACTCACTCATTTTATATTAACATTTTTACATCATCTCCTCCATTAAAAAGTAACAACCTCTCTTCTTTCTAATTTAGGAAAAAAAAAAGTCAAAACCCAAACCACTTGCAATGAGAGAGACTCAAGAGGAAGAGGCATTAAACCAATAACCCTGGAGATTGCAATGCACTGTGCACATGCAGTGAAATTTCTCTACAGATACATCCCAATGCTATGCCTGATCTGAACTTCAGTATACTACCATCTGCCTGAAAGACTAAGTACTGGCTATGATTCATGCCACTTTGATTAACACTGCTTCCAACAAGGATGTCAACAGCAGCACTGCCTCTTGACCTTTTGCCCATCAGGCTGAACTAAAACGCAAGGACCTCTTACACAATCATTTGCAGAAATGACTTCCACTCTTCTCACATTCTGAACAAATTCAGGTTATAGAGTACAAGGAAAAATATAACTGCTCAGGTTCAGTGAATGATATCTGAACTGGATCTGACTGCATCCCTTTGGCATGGAGCACAGTCAACATGAATTTGTTCCACCTGCATCACACTGTTATGATTTTCCTGAAAAGCTCAGATCAGTCACAGTATGGCTACAAAATCATTCAGAATGAAGAGGTGACCTGTGGAAAGCCTTGCTTACAAACCATGCTCCTGAACCAACCTCTTCCTTCTCAGTGAGGAAAAGTTTACTAGTCTGGTCTCCTAAGAAAGTACAGATGAAGGGATAGTGCTTTGTGTGCTTGTGTATGCACGTGTGAGTGCATGTGTTCCCCCTTTTTATTCTAGAGGTTCAGATGAATTTTTTAGAGGTCTCAGAAGACAGGAAATTCTGCAGGCTTTGTGAAACCAGGTTGCTGGGAAAAATAGGTTCTCCACTGAGGGAAAAGCTGCAAAACCACCTTGGGCCTTAAAAACGCAGCAAAGAATCCACTTGAGTACCGGGCACACTCACTGTGACTGCCTCTGCGCCTCATGAGAAGCTAAGGCATCTGCTCTGCAAACATGGGTGTTTAGAAAACATTGGTGTTTTCCCATATGGATTCTTTGGTGCATAATCAGGCCGTGTCACCACATAACATAGCATGTTTCAGTTAAAATCCAGCCAACTATGATACAAACTGGAGGGGATGGGAACAGCGCTGAGGGGAGTAAGTATCCCTGCAGCTGTTCCAGTGCTACAAGTGATGCAATGAGGTGGTCATGGCATGAGACACTAAGCTCATGTAGAGTTGGCAGACTTACCCCTGCAAGGTGCGTTGTTGTTCTCCTACGTCCAACGGCATCAGTAGAAGCGTAAAGCTTTGCTCGGTCTCCTGAATTCCTACAGTTCATGGCCTTGTAGGACAGAGGACTGATGGGGCTGCAAGATGCTGAACGGGGACAAACGGGGATAACTACGGTGTTGGTTGGTTTTGTTATTTATTAGTTTTAATAACAGAGTTGCATTGGAGAATGACAGAGGAAAGCCAGCAGGAACAGAAACAACAGAGAAAGACAGAAAAGAGAGAAGATATTAATACATGACTAATTCTTAAGTCAGAACCATCATTTGATATATTAGCTTGGCCACACATGCAGTAATGATACAATTTCACTAAGTGCTCATGTATTTTTCCATTTGTAAACTAATAATTTCCTTAAAAAAATTAAGAAGTATGCCACAATACTGAGTAGTAGACAGTAATGATGTTTTCCTGTTAAGTTTTTATACAACTGATGGTTCTGAAAAAGCAGTGGAAACAACAGCTGGTCTAACTGATTAGCTTAGTAGATGCATTGAAATGAGTTTCAATTACATTCAGAATAGAAAACAATCAAACTAAAATCAGAATGCCTATTAATTGCATTGGAAGTGAAGAAAAATTAAAGGAGACATCCACACAAAGATTAAAACACATTAACAATACAAAACAGTTTCACCTAAGAAATCAATAAAATTGCTGTCTACGATTTTTAGCAAGTGATGTATTTTTAAAAATCCTTCTTTTTAGGAATATTTTAGCCCATCATATTTCTTGATAATGAGAGAATAAGAACTGACTCAAATACATTCTCAACAGCAAGCTATTTTATGCATTAAAAAAGCAGGCTGACAACAACAAATCAACTTGGAAATTAGTATTTGAGTAACCAGGATGGCAGTTTTTGTTGGTTCCACAAGGAAAAAGACTATGACCAAAAGATCACCTGACAATAGTAGGTGTCAGATATACCGTATTTTGAGTATATCTTCAAAGAGAATTGAAACACTTCAAAACATATCATGGGGAACTTCTTGCAGCAAAGTGTTCTGGGACTTTCTCTTGATTTAACTGAAGGAGAAGGTTGGGAAAAACTATGTTATTACTGCAGAGTTTTATTTGTGTGCTCCTGTTAGTCTCTCCTAGTCATTTAATAGAGTTTTAGCATAACTATTATCCAGCATGTTACTTGAAGAAAAAAATTGTATATCTTCCCTACTCTTTTTGTTTTTCCAAGTAACAGAAATTTACATCCTCAGTTTCTGTGGTAAAAACAAACCAATATTTCTTGCCTGCAGATCCCTCTGAGCCCACTTGAAAGAAGGCAGTTCCACATACAGTTAATTCTTCCAGTCTTACAACAGTACAGCTGCTGTTACAGGAAGAGCTCATAGAATTAACAGTACTAATGCTGCAAATTCTCCTGCACCAAGAGATTAACATTAGGAATAAAGAGGGTCTCATGTAAGTGTTACAGCAGTGGCACCCATGCCTGCCTTATACTTTATAGGGATTTATGTTTAATAAGGTATTATGACTGACTTTAAAACAAGCAAGAAACAAAAAAACAGGCATTTTTGTTTGTGTTTTTGTTTTGGTTGAGGTTATCTAAAGCAAATCGGAGGCAGTGGCATAATATTAAGTTTTACAGAGGTTCTAATTCATGGGGTTCCTCTCTGTGATTCAATTCCCTTTCTCCATGCCGATTATCTGAAGTTACCACCATGGATGACATTTGCAAGTATTAAAAGACAAGCAGTTCATTTTCATTTGCGATGTTGCCAAACAACGTTTTAGGAAGTACTCCCAGTGATTCATATACTAACAGGATTACATCTATTCAGAGGAGCTTTATGAGAGCTATTTAAAAAATATTTTGGTCTGGGAGGATTTATTTAAAAAAAAGATCCAGACGTGCTCTTTTGCTGGATGTCCCTAATAGCTCACTTAAAATTTAAGGACGTGAATCCATATTTAATCCAGTTTGGATTTTTTGCATTGTAATTTATCTTTACAACCAAAGGGCAGGGTAATTTTCTAGAGAATAATGGCAGGCTGGGATGAGTGGAGTGCTCAGAGCACAGCTGTGAGCCATTGTTATCACCTGATCGTTAACCTCCAGGAAGCATCCTGCATGAAGGGGCCACAGGATTAGACCTGCAATAATATCTGGAAAACAATGAGCAGATGGATTATTCTTCTGGGTGGTACAGTTCCAGTCAGCACAGGGAAGGTATTTCAGGGAATTGCCTTAGACTGACAAACCAGTCTTTCCTGATATTTGTAGTCTTTCTCAATATTCCACTCGGTTTAGAGCTTATTGTGCAGAATAAACATCAGCAGCCATGAAAAGCTTCACACTTGCTCTAGTAAAATAACCACTTATAAAATTAAGACACTAACTTCTCAACTATTCCCTAATGAAGAGCTGAATTTCCAATATCCTCCTCAGTAGATGACATTAAATATTAATTTTACAAGGTATTATTTGTGAAGAGTGAAGAGGAATTCTGCACTTGTTAATTCCCCTATTTGCAGAATATCATCCACATTTTTGCTCCTACAGCACTACCCCTGTGGAAATGTACTGCAGCCTAATTAGTTATAAGAGTTCTTAAGTGAAAGCTTCTTTAAAAGTAATCTTAGTAGATCTCTATTCCTTCTTACCTTCTATGTTCTTTAATTAGAATCAAAATCCTGTCCACATCAGACAAGAAAGACCTGCCTAGACATACACATTCAGCACGTCCAGCAATATATTCTTGTAATGGTAAAGTCCCCAGTGGATGATTATAAAACATCCTATGATAAAAGAAGAGGCAGCAGTCACCTGTCTAAAATACGTGATAAGCAACTATGCCCCAGTTGTCCCTGGAATACAGTTTTGCCTGGGCTTTCAGTTACCACCTAGCAATATCATCACATTTCTGCACGTTAATTTTCCCCTCAGTGAGTACATCAGGGAGCTGTTCTGGGGTTGGCAGAGAACTTTACAATTATTATAACCTGACTAAACCTGCACATTTAAGTTCACATGTATTAAATGCACAGTAACCAGGGCCTATCTTTATACAAGTCTAACTTGGTCCCTGTGGGAAGTGCCCTGGTAGGGGGTGAAACTCCTTTGCAGCAAGCAGCTCATAGCCTTAGCAGTGGATGTGCTGAATCAGCTGTTTACAAGACTGTGTGCATTTCCTTAAACAGCCATGGACAGTGTGATGTTGTTGCCCTGCATGTTCTGTGTTCATTTATTGCACTGATGAAGAGGCAAAAGAAATTAAGAAAGAGGGGGTAAGAGAAAGAGGCATAGCAAACAACTGTATAAACAAGCTTTCATGCAAACTAATTGTGGACATTCAACCTCATTCTGGGATGCCACCATACACTCATAATTAGATCAATGACTTTACAACATCTGTCAGGGAAGCTGGAAAAAAGTGTCTGAGACATGAAGCCTCTGTTCTTAAAGGATTACCTGCATCTCCAGACAATGCAGCTGTGCTTTTACTTCGGGCCAGGAATGAGTGAGTGGGCGTCAGGAGCCTGCTAACAATGCTGCTCTCCCATGGACTGAGCTGAAGACGGCGAGCTGAACGTGCATCATACAAGCAAGATGTTAGATCAAACACTTCACAAATAATTACATGCTGCAGCAGTATTAGTACTATTTCCTCACTACTGCATACCACCAAAATCTTAAAACTGTCCTTCAGAGATCAAAAGCATACAATAGTTTAGTGGTTTGCATTTTATTATTACACAATTTCAGCAGAAGAATTCCTATAGAAACACAAATATCTGACCATTTAATTTTTGCTACTGCCTGTGGCATTATGGCAACTTGTTATCAAATTAATACTGATATTTTGCACATACATCACATTCCATATTAGGAACAACTAATACGTAGACTCCCAAATATAGATTTCAGAGATGTTTACGTCCCAAACTCTTTCTACATACAAGTCTTCTAGTTACAGTAAAACACCTTCCAAAGTCTGCCAGCCTAGCTAGAAAAAAACAAAAGTTGCTTACTACTATACAGAGAATTGTGTCAGAGGTTTTATCAAAGCATTGCAAAAGGACAGCGCACCTCAACTGCAGATACAAAACTCATCAGCTACAGTTGTCTCAGTAATACGTGAAGCCACAGAATACAGTAAATACATTTGATCATTAATTCTCTGTCAAAATATCCTGCCAATGACCACTTTCCATGCAGCACAGTAAACAAGAGTCAACTTTACGCATTGTTAGTCTGTTGTGAAAACACACTATATGTTGACCTCGCTGTAATCACTCCCTTGCTTTGCTTTTCCCAATATTGCATAATGCAAATTTAGCTTGTCAATATATTCCTTTTGTCTTGTAATGTTTCTTTACTTATTTTACTTAAATACTACGTAATCGTTTATCATGGTGAAGCAGTAACCAAATGAGCCCTACAAATTATTTTCTGTATTGTATTAAATATTTCCCTGATACTCCAATGCAACAAATTGTATTATAACGGGCATCACAAACCAAAATATTCAACTAGTTCCCAAAGCAGTTCATTACAGTAAGCTTTTGATATTGCAATAATCTTGATGTTTCAAGTGAAATCAGGTCTTCTTACATCTCATGACTCATTGGGCTTAGTTTGGTGTTTGCAGCTTGAATTTATGAGGCTCAGTCTCTAAAAGTCATTGAAGTGACTGGCTGTAATAAACTTGACATTAATTTGCATTTTTAAAGGTAGACATCCATCACTTTTAATAGCCATAAACTCTGAATCTGTCTTTAATCTACTCCATGCTGAGCACCATGAAAGGAGGGGCTGATCTCAATCTCATCCTATGAAAATATAATTGCTTAATCTGCCCTCAGTGCTGTTTTGCACTTCTCAAATCGCCCCTAAATTCTGCTAACTCAATAAGGGGCATTACTATAGAAATATAGGACTCTCAAACACAGCAGGCTCTCTGCATAACTGTATTTTTACACAATGTACTACTGCCAGAGTTTTTTGTGATTAATGGTTCCATTCTCCAATGGTACATATCATATAGACACACAAAATACCCTACAGAGACCTCCATTACAGCACACACATTATCATTAAGCTTGTAATTTAACAATGAAGAAAAAAAAATCACAGAACTACCATTAAACTGGATGCAATAATGGTAATGTCTTTGCTTCCTTTCATCTCCAGGCACCATGCTCAGTATGATCACTGTTTAAAGCTACTGTTGCAAGACAACAGATTCTTTTTTTGTGGTCTTTACTAGGTGAGGCTCACATGTATGAGTATGGATGAGTCTGGAGAAACTCTTCTATTATAGTTTAACAAAGACCATACAACTCCAGGAAGCAATCTCTGAAATTTTAAGCTAGTACATCAGTGCTATGTGTACCATCCATTTCTTGGAGTTCATCTGTACAGCTGCAAACAGCTGATAAGTAAATGTAAATATGGCCCTGTGGGCCAGCCCTAGGCCTTATCTTACATAGGAGGCCCCAGAGATGAAGTACTCTCAAGGGGACACAGCTAAAAGACTGATGAATTAAAACACTAACTTGCCTATCTCACACCTATCTCATATCCCTTGCCCTAAAGCTGAGTATGGTTTAATTCTCTTTGCCCCTAACACAGGGGAGTTTATATCCACATCACCTACTGGAAGCAATCACGTGTCCACAGCATCCAACCAAAGCACTTTGAGGCAGTGTTTGGGAGCAACCTGGCTGATATGCACAATAGTGAGCTAAGAGAGACCAATAAAAACTTTCTTCTCTATATAAGCAATAGGCCTGGTTCAGAGATGTCAAATTACTTTTAGCCAGGACCTCGGAGTGAAGTTTCCCTGAATCTCTGTAATGGGTTTAGCTTAGAGTTCATTTAGATATACCTTGCCTTTGTGGCAGATTTAGTCTTTCAAATCATCTGACAGACAAGGGGAAGCAGTATTTTTTGTTCTGATGCTGTGTTAAGCTATCACTCTTAGGGCTGTTTCCTAGAATTATAGAATGGTTTGAGTTGGAAAGGACCTTAAGGATCATCTAGATCCAACCTCCCTGCCACGAGGAGGGACACCTTCCACTAGACCAAGTTGCTCAAAGTCCCATCCGGCCTGGTCTTGAACACTTCCAGTGACAGGGCATCCACAGCTTCTCTGGGCAACCTGTTCCACCTGTCTCATCACCCTTAAAGTGAAGATTTTCTTCCTAATATCTAATCCAAACTTAGACTCTTTCATTTTGAAGCCATTACCCTTGGTTCTATCACTACATTGCCCTTGTAAAAAGTCCCTCTCCAGCTCCCCTTTTGGGTACTGGAAGGCTGCTATAAAGTCTCCCTGGAGCCTTCTCTTCTCCAGGCTGAACAACCCCAACTCTCTCAGCCTTTATTGCTCCTTGTTTCCACACAGGAAGCACATTCGTGATAGGGTTGCTGGTACGAGCAAGTACCTCCACCCCCAGCCACATGCAGGTTATTTTCAACAGATTAAAGATCTTTATAACCTAATTTGTAACTAGAATACACACAAAGTCACAGGGAGCTGGCAAAAGTGAATTGATTACAATCACCTGTATTTGTCTTTGGGATATACAATCTGAATATTGGAAAATTGTCTTAGCAGCAGCAGAATAAATTGCAAGTAAGCAAACAGCAGCATCTGATTAGTTGCAGGAACAGATGGGAGGCAGGGATTTAACAGGCCTGCTGATGAGCACCACAAAGGAGACTCTCATTGATAAATACGGTGTTTGCTTATACAGAGACACAAATACCAGGAGGAGTAAATGGGAGAAAACTGCTCTTTCAACAGGAAACAATACTGGAGTCCTTGAATGTCTTCTATAAAGGTTGCAGAAAAATGTGATACAGTGATTGAGACCATCTGCTTGAAAGAAAAATCACTGCAGGGAGGGAATCAAGTATGGTGTAAGTTTTGCAAAACTAAAAGTGTGTAACTCCTATCTCATCTAAAGTCTTATCCTCTCGCTAAGCTCTCCTTAAAGAGCACGATTACCAAAATGTATTGGTCAATAACAGTTTTCTCCACTTGAATGTGTGCATTCATGTTTTGTTACAGTTTCAACTACTCACTAACTACAACAACTCAATAGCATAATGAGAAGCCCGTTCTAGCTGCCCAACTGTACAACTGTGATAAAGAGCTATACAGCAATCCTATACTTGAAAAGCCAATTAGTTAATGAAAACTTTTGTCTTTCGATGCGCCAAAAAAATAATAATGTCCTTCAAATGATAAAAAGGTGCTCCTTAACAGATGACAAGTTCTGGTTGGCAGCTATAAGCCACTTAATAGGTAAGCTTATCATCCTCATCTCTAGATTGCTGTTTTGCAGGTAGGAGTATGTATTACCAACAAAGCGTGATTGGGTGCCCTCTGGAAGGTGAAATGGTGAGGAGACAGTTAGACCTTCCTTTAAGCACCTGCCTTAAGAAGTTGAAGTCACTGGAGAGACCAGTGGCACTGGCTCAACTAGATTTAGGTATCTGACTTTGCACAAGGAAGTGCATTTATAGCATTTGAATTTACTTTCTGTCTTGGAGTCTGTGAAAGTCACAAGGGGCTCCGGAAGAGTTCTGTGCTGTTTTAATGAAAATGCCAAGCAAAGAATGCCTCGACATTTTGACATACGGCCGTCACTTCCATACTCCTTCTCTTTCCCCACCGCTAGACTGCGTAGTATTCAGTTTAACTTCTCCTGAAATGAGTGGCAGAAACTATAACGGAATGGGTTACAATCCATAAGAGACTATCCTTCATACTTAATGCCTGCTGCTGTTCGCCCGCTCATATCACAAAGACCCTTCATCAAAAAAGCATCCCCTGGCAAAGACCAGCAACCATCTGGAAAAAATATACACACCTGAAAAGCTAATAAAGTTTAAACCGACTGGATTTCAATATTAAGATCAAGAAATTATTGGTGTTTTGGAATAAATTATTTCCTAATGTACTTGGAATAAATGATTCCCTAAGGTAATGCTGTATTTTTCACAAGTTACCAGAATGTACAACTAGGTTAGCCCACTAGGAAGAACAAGTCTCACCAAATCACCCAGATACACACGTTCAAGCATGCACTTAGCCCTTACTTAAGACACACAAATAATGACATCGACCAAACAGTTTTGCAACACAACCAAAATTCCATTTTAAAAATTTGTTTTTAAAACGTGCATTTTTCTGGATTGAAATGGGACAGAACTCATTCTCAGTAGAGGACAAAAAAATCCTTACCAAGTACTTTTCTGTAAGGCTCTTTGCACGAGTTACACAAGAGAGACTCTTTTATAAAACTTTTAAGCTCAATCTTGTAAATCCTCAGAACAGAGGCAGCAATTCAGCTATGTTAATTTTTAAAAGCTTGATGGTTTATCATTTTTGCACACTTGTAAACACCAAAAATGTACACTGAAATGAAGCAATCTCTGAAAAGTAACTGGACACAAAAAGTCAATAAACAGACAATATGAAGAACACCCACAATTCTTCGATAAAAATAAAAAAAATGGTAATAAAATAACCAGAAATTTTAATAAAGTAACTGCTTGAAAGCTTCATGCTTCTTAGATATTCAAGAACTCCTACCAAAAAAGAAAGGAAAACAAAACAATGACAAAATGGTCTAATGTAAATAAAAGGTCACACATGATTGCATGCACTATGGAGTGATGCATTCTTTAGTAGTTGTACCTCATTTACTAAAAACCTGACAGAAGCACTGCTTTTATAATTTGCTAAAGCAGGATTGTTTAGGTAAGTTCTCTTGTTTTAAAAAAGAATTATTTGTTCTCACAGGAAAAAATGTTCAACCATTTACTTGTCACATTTGAAGTCTTTCCACTACCACTTAGATGAAGTACAGAAAATGACTTCAGAAGCTTGTTTTATGTGCAAAGTAATACATCAGTATAGAACATTCTTTCTTGCTGCTCTTTTAAGTTTTTTTTCTTTGAAACTGTACCTCTGTCTGGAGAATTTAGTAATGTTGCAGATGAGGAGGAGAGCCGCTTGTTAATGACTGGATCAACATGTTTCGAAAGGTTCATTGTTGAAACAGACCGCCTGTCTCGATCTAAAACAAATGGAGATAATGCTAATTGACAGCCCACATGCAATAGTGCAAGTTCCTAGCTCGCTAGTGGGAGGAGGAAAACAGGACTAGGTCACTCCTGCTCTACCACAAGAACTTTCAGAATAGAATGGATTTCTCAGAAGACATTGCACAGGCGACTCAAAGACTGGGCACAAAACAATTTAAGCTTCAAATGTGTAAAATGTTTTGTTCATTATCATTCAATGGGTTGCAACCTAAAGATTTTCAATATTCTCAGAAAAAGTTTGCTCATGACTTACAATAGAAAGCTTCAGGGAACGACCAAGGTGCTTGGAAACTCAAAGTTATTCATTAAAAAAAACTTCAGCACCTCAATAAAAGGTGACATTTGAAAGGGAGTTAAAAATCCCATAGTTACATATAAGTGCTAAACTGCCCACCACAGAGCCATTTTCAACCTGCTGAAAATGAAGTTGTAGTGCGTTAATCCAAAACAGCACGTAGTTTAGCAGATTACAGAAAATCAGTCTCTGTGGAAGGCACTTGTAATGCACATACATGGCATATGTAATACTAAAACTTTATAATTTGCTTTTATTTTCTCTGCACTTTAGATCAGTATCACATCATTTGCCTGCACAACTGCTGCAGTCAGCATCTGCACCCTATTGAGGGGGTGATGGTTATTTCAAGAATAGAGATTGCACACACTTTGCGAGTATGTGTGTCACAGGAAGGTTGCTAGCAATAGCAAAAAGGGAGGAACGAGCTGAACAGGTCAGCTATGTCCTTTCTCTTCTCTTTCAGAATAAAAAAAAAGCTACAAACCTCAACTACACATTCTCCATTGCAAATTTCCATTTGGAAATCTGACATTCAGAACATGCTGTGAGAGTCAATTCTGCTTTTGCTTACATTTTAGCATGTACTGACCCTTAGCAAAGCATTCAACCATTCTGAAATGCAATGAGGCTTAAGCATATGTTTAACTGCTCTGCTGATTCATATTCTGTGTGTGTAAAAATATGTCTGCATACTTTTTTGGAAGAAGATACAAATTCAGGGCACTGACAAAATTAAGGATGATGTTGCTGAAATATTTGCCATTGTTTATTTATGACAAATACATCAACATTGTATTTACCTGTTCTGACCTAGTGGATTGGAGTATACACACTGTATACAAAAAAATTTTCACAGAAATACAGTATATGAAAAATACCTTAACTCTCCCCAGATCTATGAACTATATAGGATTCACCATAACTGGCTGGGCCAAAGAAAGATTCTCCCCTACCCCATGTGATTATTTGCTAACTGTGTCTAATGTTAGAATGACTTAGTGAGGGTATAAAACTGGCAGACTGGGTACTGGAAGGGGAATAAAACTCAGAAATGGGTTTTTAAAGGAGAAATGTGATGTCAAAACTAAGAACAAGACCTCTGTAGGCTGGCACGCTTATCCCACGTCGATCTATAGGGTATATTGGAGAATGTTCTGTGTGAGTCAGTCATTACTGGAGACAGGATGCTCAGGCTTCCTGAGAACAGAACAATATTTCTGGGAATGGGATGGGGATTTTGATCTCATATTTAATTTATCCCTGAGAAACTGTATAGTATATCAGTACAGCCATAAAGTTTCTGCATTTGGCATCTGAATTTAAAAATCACCTCTGTTATTTGGCGTGCCGACCTTTCTCGTGTCAATGAACCACATTTAAATGAATGCCATTCAGCATGAGGATTTGCATATAAGAGTTGGCAGTATGAATCCTATAAATATAGAATAGGCCAAATGCAATCCATTGCCTAGAAAATTGCTGCTTTGTTCTAAAAAAAAAAAAAAAAACCAGCAAAAAAAAATTAAAATACCCATAAGCAACATAACAGCCAATGCAGCTGGTTATGTGTCTGTGTTCATGTGCAAAATAATTGTAAATCCTGTGCGTATGCAGTATGCCAAAAGGGTTTTAGAAAATAACAAAATATTCAAATTGAGTCTCCTTAAATTCCAGTAGACAGAATATTATGCTTCATTTCAGTGAATTGTGCCAAATCTTTAGAGTCAGCCAGTAGTAACTCTCTAGAAAAAAAAAATAGTAATGAAAAAATCTGGTGCTAACAACGGTTCTAATCTATCAGTATGATGTTAAACATGCATTGCAACTACATGAAGGTGGTTTAGTTACTGATGATCTCATTTCCTGGGAACTAGCTAAGGGTAAAGGAATAAAAAACCACAGCATTATGTACCAGGTTTTCTAGCACCACCCTGAGATCTGAAGTGGTGCTCCAGGCCTGCTAAATCGAGAAAGGTGAATGATGATTCAAAAAAATAACCTAGGGACAGAATGCAAGACAATGATTTTTCACAGAAAATAAAATAAAAATCAAATAAGTTATACAGAGTTAAGCAAAAAAGTAACCTATTATGAAAAATAACTGTTTATTGAACTTATACATGATAAAGATTTCAGAGCATTAGCATTCTTTTCTCAACTCTTTTTTTTCTTCCCTGATGAAAGGCTGGACACACTGAAATTAGAATAGGAAGAAAAGAACTTTAAGTACCACTGTCTGGTGGTAAATAAAGGAAAAGTTCTCTTTATGGGGGTTTGATTCATATTTAACAAGGCATATACACATTAATGATTGGCAGATTAAGTTAGAGAAGATAATTGGGGAAAAAAGTCAAATATAGCTAAAATTCACTTAAACTTAATTTGCGGACTTCTATCTCCCAAAATATTTCTACAAGGCACAGATAGCTTATTACAAAGAACAACTTTTCTTCCTTGTGTCTATTTGAATCTCAGTATTTGGTCATTTCCACCAGATCTATTTTTTGAGGCACACAGCTAGCATTTGCCACGGTAGCTCATATCACAAGATCGACACAGCACAAGCACACCCACATATACACACACAAACAACAGCAAAGCAGCAGAAGCAAGAAGCTGTAGCAAGATAGTTACATAATTAGTCAACTCCTGAAACAAGCTTTAACTTTTCTTCAGATTTCTCCTTGTTATCTTTCTGCTACACAAGAATGTCAGAAACGTGCCATTTTTAGCAATAATAAGATCAAGAGCAAACAATTTAAAACAACATACACAGAACCATTCTTCATTTTTAACAGAAGCAAAATAAGTTTCAGTTAATTGGCAGGGGAGGGAAACTGGCTAGCAAACCAAGCCTCCCTCTTTACCTGGGTTATTAATGCGGTTATGTAGTGCTCCTCCCCAGGACCATCTGTTTTGCTTTTGTTTTGGCTTCTGGCTTCTCTCCATTGTGCGACGTACAACAGCTTCATGTCGTTCCTTAAGTACAACAGGACAATATATTTGGATACTACTGGGTTTTACACTTCATCATCTCATCAAACACTGCTACCCTCCATCCCCACAGACAGAACCAAGCAGGCATTGTTTAAGCTTATGTGCTGCCTACTAAAATACACATTAGAACAGGATTAAGCAGCAATTAATCCATAAATAAGTTAGAATCTGAAAATTAAGTGAATTTTTGAAAAGGTAATATCTGTTTGAGAGCTGCAGAACTACAGAGAAAAAACACTGGCCCTGTTATGGCAGCCACTACACAAACACACCCTAGTGCTACTTCCCACCTATTAAATACTAGAACAGTGGGAGAGAGAAGAAACAAAAAAACTCATAAGGATGAGCTGACTTTCACAGGATCACACTGCACATAGTTCCCAGATTAATTGAGACAATTCAGCCAAGAGCATATTTCATTACCCACTCACTTTTTAAAAGGTTTTGTTAGGGCAATTAATGTGCAGCTACTGTTGTACTGAATAGCTAGGAATTAACACGTAACCATACAAACCTATCCCAATTCGTGTTTTCCTGTGTGTGTGCAGTTCCATACACTAATCCAGGCATGCACAACTTCACTGCATTTGACTCATAACAGGCACTTAAAGAAGCAGGACGCAGGACTTGTGCAAGTAAGACTTAAAATCCTTTTGCACACTCTGTCATACAAGCCATGGCTCATGTTGCATTCTTTATATCAACTCCTACAGAAAAAGTTTGATAGTACTGTATCTTATAGTAAAAGCAAGTTGAAAAGTGTTTTCATGACATTTATTCTCACCTTATCTTCTTCTATTCTCTGCCTTCGCTTTTCCTCTACGGCAGCTCGCCTTCTCTCTTCCTTCAGTCTCTGCTCTTCCAGCTTCTTTCTGCGTTCCTCTAGATGTTTTTCATAATGTTGCCGGGCTCTCTCTTCTCTTTCTAACCAGATGGATTCTCTTGCAGCTGTGAGAAAAATCAGAAATAAAAGGATTGGCATGCTATATGCAAAGCACTCTTAAACACATTTTGAATAACCAAGCTAAATAGAAAAACTTTTGAATGAGTGAAAAAACTTTTGAACTAATTTTCTTCAAACATATATAATTTCCTAATCTCTCCTAATGTATTAAAATGGCCATACATCCATTTCATTTAACCTCAACTTATGTATTGTGAATTACCAACAGTTAAATTATTGAGTATATAGTTTCTGAAAAAAGGATTTTTTGTAATTTAAAATGCCTAAATACTAAAGTCAGGTTTATGTGAACAAACTTCTGTTGTACAAGGCATGATAATGCTCTGTAATATTTTACTGAAAAAAATAAAAAAAATAAAAAGAAAGATAAAACTATAGCCACTTTCACCTTTACTGATAAACACAGATTCCTTATGATAGAAGTGGCTGGGATGACAATTCTGCCATCCAGACTGTTATCTGTACCAACAGAAGGAAAGAACTTACCCACCAAAAAAGCCAGTCTAAAGGTGAACTTTAATTTCTCACATAACTCCACTGCTGCACAGCTCTGAACATGTTTCAGAAGAGCTAATCCAGACAAATCATGATGCACTAAATAAGACAAATTTTGCTCCCTATCAGGGTCTGAATTTTCATGAAGGTATTATCTGGAACATGGCCTCAAACTTCAGTCCACAGGAAACAAATAACATACAATGCTCAGGATCTCTCCCCATTGCTGTCTTGAAATCTTTGGGTCCCAAAAATTTATTTGTTCTAAAAAAATGTGTTACTTGGTTTTTCTAAAATCCCAGCCATTTGATACTTCTGGATCTTTGTGAACTGATAGGTGGGAGTGCACATGATGATCACAAGTATCACTGAGAACCACATTATAAAACCTTAATGCAGCAGAAACATGGAACCGTGACAACTGTTAAAAAGCTTTTCAATTTCCAAGACTAGCAGTGTAAGAAAGTTCTCTAAGTCTGAGAGGGTTTTGGGATTTTTTAAATTAAATCTGAGGAAAAAAAGAAAAAGAAAGAAAAAAGAGCCTATTTTTAAAATCACCTACTCTAGAACAACAACTTCAGCCTTCAATTAGAAGAGAGATTTGTGCTGTTTGACACAACCACTACCAAAGCCAAAACACCCAAATGCTTTTACATGTCCCGAGCAGACATTGCAATCACTTCTTATAATGCTAGGACTCATCATTACCATGTTGCTCTTTTGCACCTTCTTGCCTACTTAAATAAATCCCATCTCACTCATGGGATGATCCCACTCAATAAATAACTTGGATTCCACTTTAAACCTTATGTACTTGCATACTCAATTTCATGGCAAATTTCTACCCTGAGTAGCCCAGTTCATGCTGTAGAGTTATCTCCCTTAAGAAAATCCCTCTCTACCATTTCAGATGTCAAATACTCTGTTGACAAAAGCCGACAGCATGTTTAGCTTTGCTGTGGGATACAAACTAGCAGAGATGTTTGTTGAGCAGCTACAACCAACCTTAAAACACCCTCATGGTAAGAAGGGTGAAAGCTCAGCAAGATGTTTGCAGGAAATTTAACAATCATAGCTAGAATAATGACAGCGACAAGGAATGGTACAGTTGCTTAGATAATTAATAACAACAGGTGTGAGAAGTGACACCTGCAACTGTGAAACACCAATGCAACAGCCAGCAGATTTCTAGAAATATTCTTCTATGCTAATTTAGTTCAGAGTGAGTTGAAGGAGAAATGTAAACCACAGATTAAGGCAGAAAATAGCAGAATATGGCAGAAAAATCAGCTTCCAGGACAATTAAAATCTGCAAAGGCTTCTTCTTGTCACTAAAGCCTTACAGAGTAACAAAATAGGGCCAGAACTGGTGTTCCAAATGGAAAGCTAATTTGCAAAGCAGAAACATGCATCTGTTGCCCCTTCTTGGGATCCAAGAGCTCACCAAGAGAATGTATGGACAGAGAGGTGACTCTCACTACAGCCTACTTTTCTCCTGGAACTACATAACCCCTCATGATCATAGAACCATAGAGTGGTGTGGGTTGGAAGGGACCTTAGAGATCATCTAGTTCCAATCTCCCTGCTGTGGACAGACATCTTTCACTAGACCAGTTTTTTCAGAGCTCCATCCAACCCGGCCTTGAACACTTCCAGGGATGGGGCATCCACAACTTCTCTGGGCAACCTATGATGCCATCTTTCTATTACTAAGGTACAGAAAATACTGAGCAAAGGGCTCAGTTTGAGCTCACCTTTTTCAACAATTTGAGTTACATCGTGAACAGCTGAAGTATAATAAGATATGTCACCTCTGAGGTACCATCCTCTCTTTTTGTCTTTGCTTTCTACTTAACTTTTCTGCCCAATGCCTTGGGCAGAACCACTGTCAGCCTGTCACCAGAAAGGCAGTGATTTTTGCAAAAGCTTGCTCTTCCTATTAGCTTCTACACAGTTGGACTGCAGAATAGTGTCAGCCCAAGAATAAGCAGCCACATCAGTGAATTGCACTGTTCTTTCCACTCTACATGTATTTATCTTGTTTTTTTTAGCAAATGAGGATAATTTCCTCTAAAAGCAGCAACCCAGTTAATTTCAACCAATTACTTTATAAAAAAAGTTAAAAATATTTATTATCTTCAATACCATCTAAATACCACTTAAAAAGTAGCAAAAGACATTTCTAAAGAGCTTCTGTTTATTGGGAAGAATAAAGAGTGTCCTTAATATTTGAATTCTGAACTGCAAACATTCCATGGTAACTATTGCTTTCTCCTGAATATTTGATTAAAATAATAAAATAATTAAAATAATTGTTCATTTGTGCTAAATTGCGGTAATGTTAAATAAATGTTAAATGCTATTCCTTGAGGATTTTACTCTCGCCTGTTCTTTCCTTATAATTACTTCCTGTGAAGCTTGTTATCATCTCCAGAATTGTGTCCTATTGAAGTCTACTGTTTTGTTTCATTTCTCATGTGGAAATGTTTAGAGAGTTTGTTTCAGTTCTGTGGACAGTATTGCACAGATATATACAGAAGCAGAGCTTGTAACACTTCGACTTAATCTATTCTGACACGCAGAAACCGTAAAACTAGTCTTAATTTCCAGCCTAATATTTCTCTGTCTGTAGATATCACAGAAATGGATCTTGGGGGAAACGATATAAAAAAGAAAGAGAATCATTCACTGTCCTCCTCTTAAAAGGAAATTAGCAGTCTACTTCATTTATTGCAAGCAAAATTTGTATAATTTTATCTTTGTTAAAAGCTTTAGTTTCCCTAATCAGGCATTCAAGAGAGGAACTAGACTGTTCCCTTATGCAACACAAGTTTGTAGTCTAAGTTAGACCTACTTTCACAAAGGAAATGCTCTAGACTCTTACAGCATCCTGTCACCATAGTGGTATATAAATGAATTTAAAAAAAACACCAAAACAAACCAACCTACCACACAAAAAAAAACCAAAGCCCAAAAAACCCCAGTGCACGCACTGTGTTACGTAGACCCTGAACACACTACGTAACCAAAACAATACAGTTGTTCAAAACTGGAATTCAATCAAACCATTTTCCAGAAGTTTTGAAGAATCCATTCTCTTTGAAAAAGCTAAGAGTATCTAAGAAGCATAATAGCATATACATATAATGAAAGCCCATCTAGCTGCAGCGTGTTGGTTTTTACTTAATAGTCACTTCCAGAACCTAATGATCATATCAAGACAAGCCACTGCTGTGAGCCACAAGACTTCCACAGATCCTGTGATCTTTTGTGCTTGAAATCTGCTTACAATGGCAACTCAGCATGGAAAAGCTCTTTCATTGTCCATCGAAAATTAATAAATTAAGAAAAGCAAAAAATAAAAACCCATCAGCTTTCTTAACTGACGTCACTGGAATATTAATTTGCTTATAAAAGACACGAAGATTGATTGTTCTTTTTGTTATTAATGTAGATGGTTAGACATTCTTGGGCATTGTTTGTGGTGATTTCTATAGGCTTCAGCAATCATGCTGTTTAGAAAAAGTAATTAAAATAGAATATCTGAAGTTCTAAATTCAAGAAGAGAAAGGATGAAAAGATTTTTATGTAAAAGAGTTAACTTTCACGTACACTCTTTACTGCTGGGAAGACAATCAGAACGGTGAACCTCTGGACAGAACACTAATCTTCAGCTTTCTGCTCCTCATGGAAGGGATGATAAAAATCACACTTTTGTGATAAGGCAAGACAGCTCAATAACAGAAACTCACTTAGTGATGGATTAACCAAGGCAAATGGGAGTGTTCACCTGGAATAAATCTAAAACAAAACAGATCTGATTCAAAACAAATACTAAAGCTACCTCTTTCCATCAACTTTAAGTTACAGGCAAAAGGCAGCAGAAAATATATATCCATCTGTTAACTTAAGGAAGCTACTACTTTTACGCTTGGACTACGTATTTAACAAATACATGAAAATATAATTTATGATACATCTGTTTGCTGAAAAAAGTGTAATATCTATTTTCATGAACTTTACTTCTTCTGCAGATAGAGAAATAATCTTAGCTACTTTTAGACTTATTTTTCAAGTATCAATTCCTATATTTCATCTTATTAGAGAATCAAAGGAGAATATCTGCTTTGTTTTCACTGCTTCCTACATGCACTACTGACATTCTTCTGTGAACTTAAGGACTCATTTTTTGCCACCTACAAGGCAGATATATACAGTGACATAAGGTAATGTCCTTAGATATATGAGGATATCTTCAGGAAAAATAAGAATCTGTGTTTCATAGAGACACATACATTGAATGCTTTGCTGATAGAAGGAATCAGCAGATGAGCCTATAGGAAACTGAAAATAGCTCTAAAAGGTCTGATCAACTTGAAAGAGCAGCTGATTTGCAGGATGTGGAAGGGGAAAATATGATGGCTTCTCCAGAAACTGCTAAGAGCTCTGCCTGGTGCTGAGCCAACGCTGCACTCCAGTATGGGTATGG